CAGTGTCAGAGTAAAGTTATTACAATTTTATTTCGATCTTTTATTTTGATGAGACCTTAACTACCATTTTTGAAACCCACCTCGCGTTAGGACTATATTTACTTACTTATTTTTCTATGCTATGGTTTCAGTTCGATAAAACCGTTAAGGAATGGACTTACTGCAGTGAGATGCCGCATCAGTACGTAGACCTTGATCCAGATGAAGAGGTTGCTCTTGAAGCACGACGATTTCGCACTCGGCGAAGAATTCGACTAGATTCCGACTAGAATAAGGAAGAGTTCAGGGGATGTGAGTCAACCTCGTTGAAAACCGGGCTTACGTACCGTGTGTATCGTTATGGCTTAATTTTAAGGCCTCGTGATATCATAAAAGGATAGGTCATTATACATAAATATCAGACTAAATGAATATTTGGTCGATAGTGGCTTATGCGGTGAGCAGCTATTTATAACACATTCTGCTTGTGTAGGATAATCATCGTAACATTTTTAATGGAACTATCGTGAATGAATTCGCTTTATAAAGATCGAAAGGTCGATAATTTCATTTATTGTTGATCTGGGTATCTTGGACTACAAGTTGCACTTTGATGTGGATACCGAACATCTCATGGGAATCTTAGATAATATATGTTAGATAAAATCACAGTGTGCTTGTAACCATCACATTTTAGGCGAGCATCACTATTTTAGACAAAATTGCAACTCGTTTGCAACATGGGATGTACAGAAAAAAAATGTAAGAAGTGGGAAAATAAAGCTTATAGCTTGTATTGTACCTTATGACTAGTTTTAAACTTACAGGGATGAGAGTGACATCTATACTTAATAGATATTTATAAATTATATCTCAAGTCAAATTAGAGTTACTTCAGATTACACATTTGCAATACTTCAGCAGATTAGACAACAATAATAACAATAATAATAGTAATTATTATTATGCCTTTTATTCTAACATTTTTTGCCTTTGATGAAGCTTGCGGACTACTCGCTATTCTCAGTCCAGGCCACTTTTAACGCCATTACCGTCTCTCAACTATTAATGTCAACATTACTCTCTTTTACCTTTGTCAGGTACTTTGTCTATAAACCACATAAACATTGTAAGATTTTATTGGAAATTTTAAATAAAAATAAAAAGAAAATAGGTAGCACAGGCGCTACAACTGCACCGTTCTTCTACGTTCCACACTGTTCAAGAAAAGGTCATATATTCCGAAACGCGTAACCTATTAAACATGTTAAACTCTGCCATAGAGTACAATTCAGGTATAGGCTAAAGAGGTAAGTGCTGTATCTTGTATCTAAGGGCAGCCCTACGAAGAAATCGGTTCTGCAGCTGGTCAACAGTTTTAATGTTTTGTCATATAACGTGGTCAAGCTCTAACACAGTGTACAAATTCGGGAACAACACTTGTAAAGGATAAAACGCGAAGTTTTTAACCAGAAAGCACCTGGAAATCATGGTAATCGACGCCGATCTAATGATATAACCAATATGAAGATCGAAATTAAGTTCCAGCGTAATTCCAATTCCTATGTCTTTAATCCAACTCATCACAGGAATGGGCACACCATTTAAGAAGTATTCATTAGTATTTTGAAAGCTAAAAGCCGCCATACACCGTAGATAGACATCACCACATTGTCGGCGCTATTTAATACAGACACAGAATCCAACCCATTAAATAATCAGGGGAGCTGTTCAGGCACTGAGCTTTAGCCCACGCTAAAGTCTAGCTGAAAGGCCATGCTTTATATGGAGAACAGAGAAACTTGGAAGATCGCGGAAACAAAAATCATAAGGTGCACCTAAAGGTCATTCCTTTTTGAAATTCTTGAAATTGAAAATATGCTAAAATAGGTAACATTTTCATGTTACCTATTTTAGCATAAACGATCCGATTTGTCAGATAGTGTCTTATCCAGTTTATAAAGCAGTGATCAACCACTTAGTCTACTGAGCTTCACAATTTGTAGATGTGATTATGTGCAGAAACAAACGAATAATAAATCGTCAAAGCTTTGAAAAAGCTTTAGATAGCTGTAGGCGTAGATGCCATCGAACTTCTCGTGACGATTTTGAAACAATGTTCAATTTGAAATCATAGTAGCGAGCTGCGTTGCCGTTGATTCATTCTGCGTGAACAAATGCTGGTTAATACTAAAAAAATATTTCGATACTTAGTAGTTCACAATGTGATCGACTCTTCCTAAACTAGAAAGACTATAAACTGTTGAGGTATTTAATTTACTGAGAGTTTAACTTTGTAAACTGGCACAGCTAGCTAAAGAAATCAGGAGACTCTTACCCTTGTAAGGTCGAATTATTATTATGTAGAGGGACTCGGTAAAAAAGTACATAAGACTTGTATACAATGCAGGATAGAAAGATCCCAGGGGTGGAGCATTTGGCAAGGAATGCCTTTTGGTAATGCTTCTGAAAAACGGTTTTTTTATTAGAATGATAATTAAACAGTGCAAAAAGGCTGGTCCATATAGCGCAGAGCTTATACTTTTTCATCGTAAAACTAAATCTGAACTCTAAGACAATTATAATTTTGAGATACAAAAGCCGTATTTGTTGCTGCATTATAGACCAACCGGGCGGGCTGTCGAAATAGCCAAACTAAATTTACTGTGCACTTTATCACTTTTTTTTTAGATATATCATCATGAGAGTTCAAGTTAAATTCTATTAAAATGTGACAAATGAGACCAGCATACATCATAAAACACCAAGATTAAATCTGTTTTTATTCGTTTATTCATGAACTACTCGCTTTGTTGCTCTGCAGTATGGACAGTCTTCAATTTTCCTCATAAAAGGCATATCGCATAGTAAAATATATTAAAAACATAGTTTTAAGGTCAATAATCATTATTGTGTTGACCGGCCACATTTTTTGCTGTGTGGTAGCCTCTATATCTCCATATTCACCCTATGGTTATCGAAAACGGCAACACCAAAGTTGTCTGCTTGCTTTGGAGGTTCTCATTCCCCTTTAGTACACACCGAGGTAGAGAACTCAAATAACAAAGCAAAGGAAATAGCAAGCACAAATATATATTTAGCTGATATGTGTAATCGTTGTCATCTATGCCAGCTCTATATTGCTCTTTTACCCTATGAGCATGCGCTTAGAGACTACCAAGATCGTTGAGTATTTAGCCATCATTGTATTAAACTTATAACGATAAGTATTGTCGTTATCGTATTGCATGTCTGTTCTGTACACCTTTATTAATCATTGTGCCTACCATTGCTTGGACGTTGCATCGTCATTGTGACCATCGTCGTTAAAGATACTTATATATATATTAATTGCGGTGATGTAATATCTAATCTAATACAAAACTGTTTTAATTATAAAAAAACGTTCAATCTCAATGCCCCTATTAATTTTATAGTGTGTGCAGTAAAAGTGAAAAGTATAATTGAACTACGTTTGTTAATTGCCGCAGTCGTTTATTATCGTAATTATTACAATGTAAGAATTATATGATTCTTCTCTGCAAAAAAACAAATCCAATCAAAACCGCCGGTGAAAAAATCAGTCATAATTATTTTTCTATATATATGTATATATACATGAGTCGACTACTTCGCGGCCTGTCCCTCAGCTGCCGGTTGCATTTGCCGGGAGGACAACAATTGTTGAAGTTTAATCTGCATCGTTTCAGCGACACGGTCACGAAACATCACCTAAAACAGCAAATAGACAGACACTTTACCGCATTATCCCTCGAAACACTCACAAGCTATTCAAAGTAGAATGTTATGTGGTTATGAGTTCAAAGGTTATACTGTATACCAACTTGGCAACTGTAACAAATGAAAATCTCTAGACAAGTATGTTTGTATCGATTAATTTGTTAACGTAATTTTGTAACGTAAATTGATATTCTAATAGAAGTAATATAAAAATATTCTCAAATTATTAACAACTGCATACTCAAAACTGCACCTCAATATTGATGCAGGCACGTCGCGGACGTTACTAGGCAGCAGCTGCGGTACTAGCTCACGTTCTGCACGGTCTTCTCAGAAAAGCTAACTTTTTATCAAAAAATTATGATGCACTTTTGAACAAAGTATGTATTAGATAAAATGCGTCGCTTTAACTCATACCTTCTCTTGGGCCGCCTTTTGGACCTTTTCAATTTGTTCCTGGACGACCTTTTCCCTTCTCTTGAATACCTCTCGTGCTTCTTCGATGTCCTTTTCGACGTAGTACCCGGTGCCAATTCCTGAGTCACATATCATATTCATGCAGAAGCATATATTGGATTAAATTACATTGATTAGCACTACCATGATATATTTCGACGTATCGTAATCGCAATGTATTTAGAAAACCTTGCGTAATAAATGGTCTCCTTAATAAATTTGTCGGTAAAATGACTAATAGATGCTTGTATATTGCGCAATGAAAAGTTGTACTACAGGTAAACAATAGCTGTTTTTTGTCATAGGTAGCAGATCTGATTAGTAAGCTTACACAGATTGCCTTAGGAGATGTGTCAGTGATTTATTAATTCAATAGTTTTGCTGCAAACGTCTTAATTCAAGCGTGTAGAAAAGACGAAATTGTAATGTAGTCACAATCGTAGACTAATCACACTAAAGCCGCCACGCGTAACCGTGTTAACCTTTTCTTAACTACTATGGGCATATTTCGTGTATAATATTAGCTAAGAACATTGAAAATAAGTATAGATACGTGTGATGCTATTTGTGTTCAGTATACTTGTTGTAATGAACCACAGTGTCTAAGAGGCAGGACTTTTACCTATAATAGCCTTCTCGGCATTGGTCAGGTAACCCGGTACATAGACAGAATTTGACAACGGTACAAGAAGTTCTTTACCCTCCGCTTTGGGGCCCAGTTTAGAGAGACATTCTTCCGAAGTGAGGCACTTATCCATTACCACTGAAAAGAATACACCGACATCGATTAAATTGGTGCATTGTTTCTTGCTCATTAGAAGTGTCGTACTCTTGCTTGACTTCTCATTTCATAGAATATTCCCCCGCATTGCGCATTCGCCTGCATTAGTATCCAAAGGGTTTTTCCTACCGGCACATTGCAGCCATAATAATAATAATAAATTGAGAAAAGTCCGGTTGATCACAGCTAGTCATAAACACGGCCACTGAGCAAAACTTTAAACGAACCTTTGAGCGTCTGGATAGACTGGCTCATGTATTCGATATCTCCATCCAGTTCCTGTTTCATTTGCGTAAGAAGTGGCAATGGGAGCTGACAGAGCTCATACACTTTAGGCTTTGGAGATTTTTTCGACATCCTTTCCGCACGCGGTCGATAGAAAAAGAGCCTTTTTCGACAGTGCCTAAAGTAACAGCATGAAGGCGAATAGACGGAAGCTTTTTTGAAACGGAACTTTTGTTGCTCCGCAACTACGCTATGTAGTTCAATAATGAAAAAGCCAAATTTGGCATGTGCTTAGATTTTCGGTCGACTGTCTTCGTTCGACAATGGTACTATAAAAGCACAACGATTGGCAGTGTTTTGGCGGAGAAATGTTGTTTCCTGTTAGCGGAATCACATTTAAATTTGCCATACAATGTTTCTTTCGTAGTGTCGTTTTGCGTAACGAATCAAATACCAGTGGTGCTTTTAGCCGAGATTCAAAAATCGCTGATTTATCAATGAACGGACTATTGTATAGCATATTGTTTTCAGAAATGTAGGTTTCATTGATGGAATCTTTCCAATCTAGCCGACCTCACTGCATCCGTAATACAGTTCCTACGGCACCTTTGTGGTTCGAAAACATTCGCTCTCGCCGACAAAGGGCGCTTGCGTCACATCTACAATGTTTATGTAGGGTCACGTTTGGGCGGCGAGTTCAATTTTACGGATATACAAAGGAATCAGACTAAAAAAAGGTATATATATAAAATGTTATTGTTTTTTTATTTTTTTTTTAACAATGGATACCTGTTACTTTGCAGTAAAAGCTTACTTACAATATGAGCAGGAGTGGTAATCGTTTTGATTGATTATTAATATAGCACTGTGCGATGTTTACTTTCTAATATCCGGTGTTTTCTGTGTCATTTAAATATTGGGCATCACTTTTCTTATAACAGATCTTACGCGCCCAACGCAATCCTGCAAATGTATAATAAAATATCCTGATGTCAGAGAGATGCTTGTGAAAGTGCTGTTCGAACCGTAGTCCATCAGTGGCTACCAGAAACTAATCAAGTGCGTTAATAACGACAAGTGGGCCCTGTGATAATGTAGTAGCTGCAAAATTTGAAAGATACGTGGTTATCTGGGCTTGAATCCGGCTGTACCTACTTCGTTTCTGCGATACTGGACGTATACCTTGAAACATCTAGAAGTGGATTAACAGTAAAAAAGTATACAAATAAACAACGATAAGGTACTGTTGACAAACCGAATAGTATATATATCGGCATACTTAACTTAAGGTAACTTAAGCGTACGTGTGAACGTATTGTGTGAGGTATGTGGTGGTAATGATATCTAATGGCGTAAAAAAAGTAAAGTCACTATATAGAAATCCTATAACGATAGAAAGCCCTTAGAATTTCTCGGCCATGTACTGATTTACCGGAGACTAAAGATTAAATGTTTAAGGTGCAGTCTTCGACAGATTAAAGATAAACAATTTTACCATCGACTTCAGAAATATCACTACTACTGTCCATTATGAACTCTACCAACAAAAGTTAGTTTCTTGATAATATTTTAGGGGGACGTCTAAATTTCGGTTAGCAATGTGTTTGAAAATCAATGAAGCTGGAGTCTTGTCATGTCAGTATTTCTATCCTTTCGTTTTCCGTCGTATAACAGACTTAGCTATTTAAGCTTTTGATGGTTTAGAAAGGTAAAAATTGACCTGTCGAAAGAAATTTGCTTCCTAAAGAGGTAAAATGGGTGTAATAGAGTGGTTTGCATTTTACTAAAGATTTTCGTGAACTGTATGAAGAATTTCCTGCCCCCAGTTTTTATATACATTGGGACAGGCAGGCATCTTTATGCTTTTATTATAACGAGTAGCAAGGTCGACTCTTTTGTCACCTGTAATCGGTTTGAGTACATTTATTTAAACCCCGCGTATTACCAATTCCAACTATTGCAAGTAAGGAGTTAGATAATGTATAATGTTGCAATTATTTAGTAAATATTATATTATTAATAAAAAGAGAGTTTGTCTGTATGACGATTCGTAGGTGGGGATACAGATAGATGGATGTTGCTTCTTTAACTTAAAGTTCTCAAATCTAATAGTTTAAATACCATAGTCAATTTTTCGAAATTAGTTTTTACCAATTATATTCTTTTAATTTTTGTAAACTGCAAAGCAATTGTTACATTAATAGTTCTTGCTTCAGAGGGAAAGCAGGTTTACGCACTCTCACGGCCGATCCAGCTTCAAAATAAAACGTGTGCGTTAAACCTTCATAAATATAGTAGAAGCTAGCTCCTAGCTTGAGAAACTGTCTGTGTCAGTCTGTATAAATGAGGTAAGTATCGTAGCATAAATCTAATGGCGGGATAGTTATTTGTTGACATACATTTGTTGTTTGACAACATACGAGCGTTGCGGTATGATGTTCTTTTCACTCTCTGGGTGTAAGATGATTTGTTTTGGCCATTGACATACCCACGACTGAAATACCGAAAAAAAATCTTGAGCGATAAACCATGTTGCTGCAGCGTATTACGCATTAATGAATAGGAGACGGTCCACACGAAGTACAGACCACGCCAACAATTGTAGACGTATATAGTAGTTATATGGCAACCATATGTAGTGAAAATATTTGCCATAGATGGTTGCGTCGTTTTAAGGCTGCAAAGCATCTGCCGATTCGAAATACTCGACAGTAGGTAAATAACTATTTTAGATTGTATTCAATGAGTTTTTGACATTACCTTTTCCAGTGCGTCATGGCTGGTTTTAAAAGGCAAAGTTGTTATCGTGATGGGTGCCTCTCTTGACATTGGGTACGGAACCGCACTTCGTTCGGTGCCAGAGGCTGCATCATAATTTCCTGGTTGAAACCTCGAGGCCTTACAGAAACCTGAGGATGAATTTGAATGAATCTCAGGACCAGCTAAAAGCCGTTTACTTAAATTGGATGAAGATTTGGCAATTGAAGTATTGACGGAGAAACAACTTATGGGAAGCTCGATATTTTAGTTAATAATGCGGGAACACTTATTGTTTACGCTTTCTATGCAGCTTGTAACGTGATTAAAGCAGTACTAGATTGACTCACTAAGTCGCTGGCAAGTCGAAGTAGCAAAAGACGAAATTTGCGTAAATCAGCTAATCCAGGCGCAGTTCTAATAGAATTCATAAGCGCGTTGGCGTGACGAATAAGACTCCCAAGCGGACGCATCCAGTCGGTCACGTCGTAACCGTTGTCGACGTGGCTGTCTACGTATTTTTAGCGTCGTATAAAACCACATTTTGCACCGGAAACCTTGTAAGCGTCGCAGAAAGAAGTGAAGTCTACAGCATTCGACTGTACGGAAATTACACATCTAGAAATATTGGTCAAGCTTGATGTGTAAAATAGTTCTGAGCAGTTATGGCTTTGTGCGCCAGAATTATAAGTGTTAAATTTTATTGGAATAGCTGATTTTTCATCCTGCCACAACAAGACTTGCACACTAGGAATTCAGTAGCGTTCTGAACATCTGATTTGTTATAAACGTCACTTGCATCATCGATTACTCATATTACTGAAATGTTTTAGACATCTTTATGCCATGTTATAGCGCAAATATCTTACAGTGTGCACTTTGTATAGCGAATACGTAAAGACGTACTTCCTGAATAAAAATTTATTCTAAACTATTAAGTGTTTATTAAAGGCAAGACAATACTGCTTATTCGATAAGGCCTCTCAATGGTCACTAAATGTCTATAAGAATCGGATGTTATTTTCTGCTTATATATACATATAAACCCCTTTTTGGAATTTAAAAACGACATAATAATATCGGGTTAGCTCCGTATATCATCGAGTATCTATTGAATACTAGAGACTTGAGCCCTACTGCCAAAAAGAATCAAAGCGGATCAGTGTGGTCAGTATAATTATACGGTTTACATGATAAAGGTTTTGCTCAAAAACAGTTGGTAGATAGCATATGGAAGGATTGAATGATGAAAATCAACTGCTGGAAAAGCCGATCGAATTATAATCATGGTTTAGCAAAATGCCTATTTAATCTGCACTTCCCATACCCTTAGTTCAGTTCCACATTAGAACTACTTCATACTTAATTACTAGTGCTGTAAAAGTTCGAATGCATCGCGGTAAATTGTCACTTAAAAGACAAAAAGGATTCCAGTTTTTGCCTTCTTGCCCAATGACTGACATTTGAGGTTTGATATTTAGAGAATTGCTTCATGTCAACTGTTGTAATATGCATTGCCATGTTTCCGCGCTTATTGAATATAATAAATGAATATTAATAAGTATTGAAGAATGGGTATTTAGAGAATCTGTTGTCTCGGTGCTGCCACTAACTAAATTTCATATACTGGGTGGACTAAGGTGTTCAAATTTAAAATGGCAGACGCCAGTACCGGATCACCGCCAGACACATCTAAACTAACCACGATCCTGATTAAGGACCTACCCGAAGAACTGAACAAACGTGACACTCTACTTGAACATTTTTCACAATTCGGCGAAGTAACACGTGTCCAGTGCCGCAGCGACTGCACAGCTATTGTCCACTTCAAACAGCATGGAGATGCTCTCGCTGCTAAGAATAAGGGAAAAAAGGTAAGCCGTGTGTGTTTCTTGCCTGTTGTCACAATTGGTGACACAGACCATTTTCGCATTAAGAACATCACTATTACATGATGCCAACCTTGTTAGAATTTGTAATTTAGTATTTGTAGAAGCGTAAAAACAATTAGAGCTATTAGTACTAACTCTTGTATCACTGTTGCACAGTGCCTGTCATGTTAGTCCAGCGAGGTTGATAAACACGGTCTTATGCTCTATTCTAGATCTCTCCACAGTTTCGGCCTGTAGGCATCCAGTGGTGCAGGATGGGGAGGCAATCATCATCCGAAGGGACAAATTTAACGGGCGCGTCACTACCAAAAAGCTCTTCTGCTCATTCTTTTCAAGCAAATAATACGAGTAAAAGTAACCCGTTTCAAATGAAAAAGTCTACAGTGGCGCTCTTGAATTCACCATCTGAGCAAGCAAACTTGTTCGCAAGTTCAGCCTCAACAAGCTCAGATAACGGATCGGACGCAGGTGGTTCTGAAAAAAGAGCTACCTTTGGCTCCGCCAGAGACCTGTTCGGAAAGAAATCTCTTGACAGCAACAGCGCACAGGCTGGAGCAACTCTGTTTGGAAAAGCGCTTGAAAAAGCTAAAGAAACAGTAAAGGATTTGCCGGCGAGCAACGCTGGACCAAGTTCCCTATCTACGTCATCGTTTGAAACTCGGGTGGACAATCCATTTGCAAAACTGCCCGATACACCACAGATTTCAGAGGGTCGTCTGTCAGGTGGATCGCTTGCATCAAAGGAGCCGGCAAAGCCTACAGCTCCGTCTGGTTCAATACCCCCGGCAGGCACATCACCGGTGTTCAGGTTGGGCGGTCTTTTTGGAAAATCAGGATCTGAAAAACAGGCGCTGCAAGAACCTCGGACTAGTACTACCGCTTCGCTAGCAAACACTGAAAATACAAAAGATGGCTTCGTCGCCTTGCCTGGATCCGCTGCACCTCTTACGGCCGGAGTGTTTAGAAAAGCTACGCTCCCCATGAATATCCCGACCACGTCAGCTCCTGCATCTATGGGCCTATTTGGAAAGCCAACTTCACCTTCAACTGCTAGCGGTTCAGAAGCTGTCTCTTGTGTAGGCCCTGTGGCAAAACCAAGCATGCTTTTTGGAAAGCCATTTACGGGAGATACTAGTCAGAAACCCGGTTCTAGCTTAGAACCCAAAGGCACACTCTCAGACAAACAACCTCCAGAGGGTGGGACCTTTGCACCTGCCTTCAAAGCTCGAGGGGCTTCATCTGAAGCTGTTCTGCCATCATTTTCAGTTATGAGGTGGTCAGCTGATGGAGCCAGTAAAGATTTAACATCGAGAACGCCATTCGGAGCGAAACAAGATGCGCCACGGCCAAGAACGAATCTCGTGTGGACTAAAGACAAGGCTGATACTTCATCTAGAGGTTCTCTCAGTGTTCCCACTAAAAAAACGATGAATCCTGCAGACTTACAAGAGGCACCGGCACCATTAGCCGCTCCGAAGCAGCTCAGTGTTGTAACCCGATCAAACACTCGGAGCGCTAGTCCTTCGAAATTTGCTGAGCTCTTTACGCACGCCGCCCACTCAGTCGGCGATCGCTATAAGCTTTTGGAAATGAGGGATAAGATTATACGGGAGCTAATAAGCTCCGAAGTGCAGAAAGGCCCCATTAAAGGCACCTGTACTGACATGTGTCCTGAAAAGGAACGTTATCAGCGAAGCCAGCGAAATCTCGTGGAAAAGTTTGAGATGCTTCCTGGGGCAGACGGTGTTATGGACCACACCAGGATGATTAAGGAATATCAACGATCGTCTGCTGATCAAGAATTTCCGTTACCGCATGAATTGAGACCACCCCATATTTTAAAAATGACAATGAACTTTTTGATACGTGAAATTATTTCTAATCAGCCAAACAAGGGTTGTGGAGACTGGTTCTCATTTGTATGGAATCGTACTCGAGCCATTCGAAAGGATATTACTCAGCAGAAAATTGAAGCGGACCCCATTTCAGCATTGATTCTCGAACGATGTGCTAGGTTTCACATACATTGCAGTCATTCATTGTGTGAGGAGGACAGCCACGACTTCGATTCTAAGCTGAATAAGGAAAACCTTACTAAATGTCTGAAATCGTTGAAGTATTCATATGCCGACCTAAAGGTTCAGAACGTCAGATGCCCGAATGAGGCCGAGTTCGTGGCATACGAGATTCTCTTGAACCTTAAAGAGGGATTTATAGCAAAAATGATTACTGACCTCGAGCCAGAACTTAGACGAAATGCACTAGTTAGGCTGTCGATTGCAGCTATGAATGCCTTTGAGTCGGGAAATTACCGTCGATTTTTCAAAATTGTTCGGCAAGCGCCCTACCTAGCGGCATGCATTCTGCATTGCTACTTCATAGAGGTTCGCAGACATGCCCTCTTCGTTTTGTCGAAATCCCTTAGCAGCAAAGGCGGTGACATCACTCTGTCTACGCTGACTAGTGAACTTCTTTTCAACAGCAAAGAGGAATGCAGTAGCTTTCTAGCTATTCTCAACATCGAGCCCGACGAAAACGGTTTCATCAATTGTAAGACCATGGTGGACCATGACGATCTACGATTCAGTATGAGTAGATCACTCGACATTATGCGAAGAATGGATACATCTCTTGCGCAGATTGTTTACGGAGCTGGAACTATTCCATTGGACAATTATACACCAGAAGACAGCTTTACGGCGGACGGTATGCTGAAAAAGTCAGCTCTTGGCTTACTTGAAGACTATAAACTAAGAGAACCGCAGCAGGCGCCTTTGTTTGCCTCCGTCCAAGTCCCAGAACGGCCTAAACGTATAGAATTGAGGGATGAAAACCTTCTTCCTGCACTCTTGTCAGTAATCGAGTATGTGCAACAGGAACAAGTAAACGCTATCTGTCGTGAAGTCGCCCTTGAACAGTCTATCAGCTTAATAAACCTAGGGCGTATTGTCGAAACAATAATTTACGAAGAAGTTCGTAGTGCCGCTAATGAGATCTTTGAGCAAGAGAAGACCGCTGACATTATGCGGCAACGAGCGCTGCAAAGCAAAATTGCACACGATGTATCGAGTGAGTTGGTGCTAGCATACTCGCGACAATTTTTGCGAGAAATATGCCAAAAAGCTTTGGTAGAAGTCAACTTAGAAGTTGTAGGTGAATTGGCAAGCGAAAATCAGCAAAGGATCCTGAGTGGATTATTAGCTGACCTTGTATTGGAGGTTGCCAGTCTCGAGTACGAGGCCCAAATTGACGAGAATAATACGCAATTAGCTGACAATTTCCGAACGATGATTTTATGTAAAAGATCTATCAAAAAATGGAGAAAATGGGTGTGGTTACACAAGGAGATTCGAGATTTTCCAGCTGCTCCCAATCTCGGACCGATTAAACCATATCCGCACACAGGCAAATCGTATGCAGAGATTCGAGCCGAACAGGTCCGATTGACTGCCATGCGGCTTTTAGCTGGAATCAAGGAAAAGGCGGATACATTACCATTAAATTTGCCAAATCTATTTAAAAAACGCGTTCGTATTCTTGTAGTCGGCGACGTTCCGAAAGTAATCTCGGACAAAGTGAAAAGACTATTATGCGTTGACAGCACTGTGTCTTACCAGTCAGGTATACCAGATTCTGTTCAAGGATTCAACGTTATCGTTGTGCTCTCCAGTGGTTCACCGGCTAACGTGAGTGCGATAGCGGGAGCGGCTCAACGTCTAAAACCAAAGCCGGCTGTTGGAATTTTATGGTGTGCTCACCCTGTACTTCTCTCCTTGGACGTTGATGAGGAGCTCCTTCAAAGAAACCACGAACCAGTTTGTATACCATTATGCAATTTGCTCAAGAAGCTGTCAAGACGTGTATCAGAAGAGGTAAGATTGCAGCGGGCGAGTTTGCCCGATTTTATCGACCGCGGCATGGAGTTCTGTCTCCACAAGTTATCAACTCCCTGCAACTATCTACCTGCAGCTGTTCGTCTCTATAACGAAATCGTGGTGCATTTAGCAGCTGTAGCCACATCATCGGCGCTTCTCCAAATCAACTCGTTAGGTAAGTTCACTGTGTCTATTTAAGTATCTCTGTGTATATTTTCTTCGCAAATAGGAATAGAGAACTAACATAAACAGAAGTATATAGCAGATTACTGATGTCTATACTCAACGTTTAATATTTAAATCTTAATATGCTAGATACAGGCGAAACTTAGAAATACTCAAATGTATGAAACTTAGAATTAAAGATGTTTGATTAAAAAGAAAGTATATTAGTTAAGACACCAATATTTTTGTTTTGTATGCATTGTTGATATATAAAATTACTTCCGGCTTTCATGTTGTGACATTTTGTGTCTGACTGCGGATATTTACAGATGACGAAAATGGTTGGAATGGCAAGGCGCAGCTGTGTACCCTTTACAACCGAATAAAGAACCTCGAATTGCCCTTGCCTAAGTCCAATGACCGTGCTGCTTTCGTTGAAACAGTGCAGCGCGTAAAAGGAATTAGCTTACTCACTACCGCCATTAATATGGCTGACTTTAAGGACGATTTCGTCTTACTCAGAGATATTCTTGCTCGTTTCAACTATACTCTTGATCGTAAGTTCTAAATGCGCTAATTATGATTTGCGTAACATGCGTTTATCGTATTTTATGTAAGGTACTCTCACTTAGCTCGAGAATTCAAATTCCTTATGTTAAATCAATACCCATCTGCCTCTTATTATATTGCTCATTTAGTGTTTAGGTAAAGCAATTTTTGGGTCTACTTCATTTGAACGATACAGATAGAGACACGGGCCTCATTAGATTGGTACTTCTGGTTTTCGGGTTCTTTTAATAAGGAATTATAATTAGGATCTTAGGAAACTTAATTGAGTAATTCAGGCACCGCGGAAATAAACGATTTTAGCGTCAAAATACAACATCTGGAGAGACTATAGTGTACCTATTTATTGAGGTTAACGAGTAATTATAGCCTTCGGATAATTAGTTATTTTTGAAGCTTTTTAGCTTTTTTGAAGGTACGCTACTTGGAAGATGACTTGCGAAACTTTGAGATTCCCGATTTTTGGTATCGGCGTCCGGTAACTCAAAACTCAAGATCGACAACGCCATTGGAGCAATCGGCGCTGACGGAGTCCGAGTCTGGTCAGGAGGAAGAAGTAGAAAACTACCGCGATAGGCTTGATGAGACTATTCGAAGTGCGCGTGAAGTACTTCGTCGATCAGAGCTCAGCAATGGCAGAAGGGTTTTAAAAGGCAAGTAAATTATATTCACTATGTGACTCGGAAGGTAGCAATGAACGTACACAAAACGAATTGTGAGGCTTTTTTTTAACTGTAGCTGATCACCTTATCAACATGTTTGACGTATCCACGCAGTATGGCCTAATAAATTCTTAAGGCACGAGAGTAGAAGATTGAATTTTTAGACCCAAAAAGATAGTCATATTCTTTTAGTCGTCCTTTCCCTTTTTATACCAGTGACAGGCTTGCGTCGCTTCTAGTGGGAACTCACCTGATTGCACCTTAAGATGGAAATTTGTTGTGGAAAACCCAGCTAGCAGCGAAGACGACCAATCTGTGCAACAAATAGTTTTCGCAGTTTCTGCAATATGTTCAATTTCCGGCCTAAACTCAAGTGACAAGCTGGCTGTTTATTTAATCTACGGCAATCAGCTTATGCTCAGTTCGTCCATATACAAACGTTCAGGTGAAGGTAAACCGGTGCGGTTCCTGGGAACCGCCATGGTATTTGTGCGTTCATTAGCATTTATACAACTGCTGATCAAATTTTGATTCTTTGTGTATGGAATAAAAGAAAGCTAGTACGCACTATTCCATTCAGCTCAGAGCTACTGTGTTATTCTCTCTTCGGCTACAAGCAATAATAACCATAAATACGGTTCAGTCTACTTTCGCAAAATGGAAAATATTTTTTGTATGTAGCGGGCCATAAATAGTTAGCATGTATCACATCTGAGATGAATTTGCGCATAAACAAAAAATATTAAAATATTTGTGTCCATTGCTTTGTGTCATTTTCGTTTGCCTCCTGAATTCATTAACAGTTTGTGATCTACGTAACTTGAAAAGGCCGTTAGAAACTCAGGACCCTCAGCCAGAGGTGATCCGAAAGAAACGTAGTGATGGCAGCAGCAAGGACCCCTCAACTAAAATGTCGTCTGCAAACAGCTTGAAGCAACCGCCTACCGGAAGATTGAGTAAACAAACAAAGATTGAGTTAGATCTATTTGAGGTGAAAAGAGCAATTGAAATGCTTAAAAGTAAAGCTCGTATTAAAAGATTGCTCAGAGATGCCTAAATCATTCTGATCGTTAGTGTACAGGCCATTACTTCATCAAGATGAAATCTCTAGTGAATTTTTTTAAACCAACCTTTGTGGGGTTGTAGAGATTATTCGTAAATCCGTGCGGAAAGATAATGTTGTTTGTTATTAAATACTTACTGTTGCTAGAAGGAATGTGCTCACAGGCCAATTATCCGACTTCATATTGTTTTCAGTTGAGCACCGGTCTTAACTGTTTTCTATCGTTGAGTCATTATGGTTTTTTGACCCTAATGAAACAAATTGGACGCATAGGTTAATCAATATGTGTACATACCATAGAATCACACTTCTTACGTTATCGACAATTACGATGTTGTTTGTCTTTAGTGGATAGCTCACAGAAGTAACATCTGTCTAACGTCTGTAAATATAGAGTTCGTTACTGAAATTAATAGTGGCGAGCACTTGTAGGTGCCTATCTATCTGTGTCGTTTGTAAGCGAGTCTGATAATGTCTGTGTCTTTCGAGGTTGGGCTCAATGTCAGTTCTCAGTTGCGGAGAAAGGATGTGCAAAAGGCAACGTTATTATTCAGATAGGTGAAGCCGTACGCCTAACTCTTGTAAGCTAAACATTAGCTGCTGTATATGGATGCCAATATGTAAATTCATTAAACACATACAATAAAATTATAAGTATTATTGAGTATAGATTTGGAAAAATTGAGCTTTGAATATATACATTTCAGGGGAACGTCTCATTTGAAAATACAGAAGTTTCAGCCCTTTGTAACATAATAGGTTATATATATATATATTATGTAAAGGAAAAATATATTGATGTTAAGCATGAAGGTAACTATATAAATACAATGATATGCCAAGGAGGAAGATTTTAATCTTTGTTTGTTTTTAGACTTGGCAACATAGTGTTAAAATAGATAAAAAAAATCTTAAACGCGCTTGATACTAACGGCTGTCAGTAGGTATGAATAAGGAGAAAGAAAGCTAATGCAGTGGTCATAGTGTTAATGAATTTTATAACAGATAGAAATATAGTATCAATATACAAGAGTAGTACGTCAACAACCGTATGGAGACAGCAAAAAATAACCGTAGCTGTTTTTATAGATAGCACATTTTTATACGCTGGATGGTGAAATCCACGACCTCAGTATTTATGTTAGTGCTTCACACTATTTTATCGATTTATAGCAGTTGCTGCTGGTGTTAAGAGAAGCAAATTCGCGCCTCTTTTAGCCTTACTGTCACATTCCGTCTTTTCTCTATGGTTCTGTTCATCCGAATTTGCACTAAGATAGTAGCACGACTCAGGACAACATTTTATATACAGGAAAATTGTAATATTTTTGACCGGTTATTACATTTAGGGTGAATACAGGCACAGCAGAGTTACGTCTGAAAGATGTTTCAGCAACTACTACACTAAGCATATTATGGTCAGGAATAATTATCATCAAGATTTGTGTCCAAATTTATCAAAATTTGTCTGAAATGAAACCCAGTTACCCAGTAGTTATAACACAGAGCACGATTATTTGGCTCATACGTTATGTAACTATTATATTTTTAAGCATAGTGCAAATTTACGACCACGATGAACAAGTTGTTGAACTGAAAATTTTAAAATTATGACGTCCTATATCCTTATAGTTATCCTTATATATAGAGTAGTGCGGCCTTTTAAACCACAGTCGAGTATCTATCAATGCTCCTTACAACTGAAAAAAAATTTTCTTTGAAACGAAAGTTGACATAGTAGCCTAAGCTGTATGTGAAGGTATTCGAACCAGCTTAGATGTATCTCTTTTGTAGATAATATTGATGACTCTACTCTTGCATCCGTTCTTACTATATCAAATCTAGCTATTCAAAATGTCAGTTGATTCTGGCTGCAATGAATCAATTGTTCTATAAGTCAAAATTTCTTCATCGCTCGTAAACACTCGCATTCGGTTTCCTATCGTTAACGATCCAAATATGTACATGAATATACGTCTGTACAAAGCTTTTCCGTTAGCTGTCAGCTTTTGAGTAAAAATGATTTAAACGTTAACAGAAGGAATTTCGTGGAAAACATGCTTTGGTTAGGGATATTGTTATGCTTCCTACTCATCATAATTTTTGCCTCAGAACATTGTAGTATTTACCACATTGAAACGCTTCAGCTGCATATACTCTTCCCAATTAAACTAGCCATAAGAGTAGCTGTAATACTATGTAGAAAAACTATACCGCGCTAGCTTAAAATTAATCATCAATAACTTCACCTGACCCTTAGTGAAGCTTGCTCATAACAAGGGTATCTTACTCAAATCAGTATGCCCAGCTTTATTTATTAATTAAGGTACGAGAATCTTGTTGTTTGTAAATAGGCATCCTATCTCCCTATACCTAATAAAGGTTGCTTCATTTTTAAAAATTCAATGGTATACACGTGCTTTTTCTTATAGATTTTTTGTCCGGTAGATTCGTTCGTAAATCGATTAAGACACGTCTATCATAGAGCTTAACATTACCGGCTGAGTCTTAGAGATGCTTAGAACATTTTTCTGGATAGATTTGACGTAAGCAAAAAAGCTCAAGCCGAAATGATCGAGTTAGTAATCATCGTCTTTTTTCGGAAAGCTGAAAGCTTCAACCGCGGCAGTCTTTTATTGGTCGTCTGACACCGCTCCTAAATGAAGTTTCACACAGGGATAAACTAACATTAACTCGAAGAGTTACTGTATATACAGAGTTGGTACCGTACAAGGAATATAATTTTGCTTTTTTCGTATTCTTCCGGAGCAAAACTCGAGTGCACCGAGTAATCGCTTATCTGTCCTCATTATAATACTCACAAGTTCACATACGGTAATGCTCAGGACAGAAGATCACATACAAAATTGCAACTCAATACTAGTTATACAATTGCACAGTGCTTCTCATCACGACAGAAAAGCCAAAGAAATTACTATTTTGATATTTAGAAGACGAATGAGAAGGACGCGTAACAGTGCCTAATTTCTACGGAATCGTGAGTTGCTAAAGATTATCTATTCAGCGTATTAGATAAATAACGGAACAATGCTTAGGTATTATTATGATACTCCGCCGATCATGGCAACTATGATACATATTCTCGCAGTAGAGATGGTAGCACAGTTTCCTAGAGTAGCTTAGAGTAACATGCAGAAGTATTTGTGTACGCTTCACGGACTAATCCCACACTATTTCTTTTACCTTCTAGAGTGTAAAATCAGCATTTTAATAATTATTTAGTTTGGTACAAGGTTGCACGTGTTGCTGAAATAGGTATATTTTAAACAAAAGTGACGTTTTGAAGAATCTGTCGCAGCAAACAAAGATTCTGGGACTGGCTGTCCAACTCAACCCAAAATATTGAGCAATACATAATTCAGTTCTCGCTTTTATTATCCAAGATATTCAACAACTGTTTATTGAAGTGGTTTATTTCTTTGTAAAATTTCCCCTGAGATTTTCGACTAAATGTTGATTGTTGTGGTTATGTTTATGTTTTGAATGATGATCTATTCGGCAAGTTTAATTACCGCTGAAACGCAATGTACTACAGCAATTATTTATAGCTTCGAAGATAAACAAATGAGATTTTTAAGTTTCTGGTATTATAAGTCACAGATATGTGTGTGAATGACGAGGCTTCATTCAGAGACAATAACTGAGTAAAGCTAACCTCTAAGAAGCTCCAAATTCAGGAGTTAGGTGGTTGATGTCTACCGTTCGCATTTATAGCTGTTTTGCCAGACACTCCTTGTTCAGTGGCACCTTCGTCAGTACCATTTAGAACAAACTGATTATTTAATGTAGTGCCGGTTTTTCAGGTTATACAATTATCCATTGGGCTAAGCATAATCCATGATTGACTGTAGGCTGACACCGAAGGCAAATAAGAAGATAGTCATGACGATTCTTTTTCTTCTAATTCATTAGTACGTAGGTATATTGATCTAGCAGAAGTGGACAAACGCCCTAAAAGCAATAGAAGAACCAAGGCGGTATGGCATGGTCATCTAATACTTTGAGCTGACTCAGCATCTATTATATAAGCTCAAACGACCTCCAAACGCATAAATTGTCGAAAAAATATTCCTGACCTAATGTTCGTCACGCTCCACAATTAAGTATTTCCTTTAAAAAGCAAACATCGTTCGTTTATATTATTTAAGCTTTCATGCTTCCCAGGCACATTCGCCATTTCTTGCATTACCCGCGAATCTTAACCCTGATTCCTAAATCGTCACACTAAATGTCGAACAGTCATACAGCATATGGCTTATTCGCGAAAACCCCCCTCATACAATTAGAGAGCAATCAAAATCACTCGTCATATTAATTGAGATCGTTTAAGGGCGATGTGTGCAAGTCGGAGCCAAGAACGCATACTTTCATTGCACATTAATAATGAACGACGATGTCTTTGTTTTATAGACAATGTTTAGGAGCCTTGTAAGTGTTCAGTCTAGCACTCCTTACACGATACTTGAAGCCTGATGACAATACATTATTCTATGAAATCATACAGCCATTAGCTTTGTTATAGCATTAAGATATGTAAACATGTAATTATTTTGCTGGTCGAAATTTATTTCACTCTATTAATTCTATAGAATGTTAGCGAGCACTGCACTGTTAAACATTTAGTAATTAGATTTTGAGAGGACGCTATTGTTTGCGAGCACGACTGACAAAGCATTATCCAGTCTATTGACCAAACAACAATAAACAAGCGACGGCAGCAGCAGGAGTAGGGCCTGTTCGGGCGAATGCCCACTAAGGCAACCGCTTAACTGGGCCTTGTGGTCCTCTGCTGATGGTTTGTTCTTTAGTGGCGGCCATAGCGGCGTTTACTCGGAGAAGTCCAGCGGACAACTCCAGTCGACCGGCAACTGGCGGCGTTTACCAGGCTACCAGGTTAAAAATAGCCTTCCCTTCAACCAGCAAAAAGCAATCTTGCCCGGTGGCTATTGCGTTGTTTGGCAAACCAAGCACTGCTTTGCCACACAGACGAGAAAACGGTGAGAACGACGAGTATAATTTCTTTGCGTAGCAATAGCAACATTGGTAGCAGCAAACAGGCTAGAGGCTTTAGATCTTGAATGTGGAAGGTAGCACACCGGCGCAACAATCAGCCTCGATCGAAGGTGTTTGTCTAGCTCACAGCTTTTATCCAGCAGAGAAACACCAATGGTAGTCGTAATATTAAGACGAGAGTTAACGGCAATCTGTGAGCACCAGGCGCCTTTGAGAGCACAGCAAGGCCGACCAACGGGTATCTGGAGAACAGAATCGGTTGTCTCGGTGCTGTGGCTCTACGCCGTTCTTTCCGCTGTCCCCCTTAGGCCGCTGCAATGTTCTTTAGGCCTTGTCACCTAGGTACGCCTATTTGTTCTAGTTTCGCTACCGCGAACGCAATCAGCGATGGTACCACCATCACCGCAGCAATAGCTAGTGGAACTGTGGAGTAGTGGATGCGTGTGGTTTATGACGACGACAGGATACCGCAAGACGACAGAATAAAATCCAAGGCCAGAATTTGTTTCTTGCCACCAAGGTTAACTTGCTGTGAACCAGAACAGAGTGATACGTTCTGTGTGACAGAGAAGCGTTCTTCATTGTTCTTGATACTGAGCCTCATTCCGGTGTATCTTCCGTTGTCGTTGTGCTACGTACAGTAGCATTCGGAGTAACATTCGCGCAAAATGAGCGCGAAGCAGGCCGCGGCGTGCAGTGGCTTCGTGCCGGGAATGGTACGGCCAACTCGCTGCAAGAGGTGCTTCGGGGATGTTGGCGACCATAAACCCAAGGAGCCAATTATTAGGCGCAGAAGTTTAAAGGAAGGTGAAGAAGCTAACGGTATTGGAAATGGACCAAAAAGTCGAAGTAATAGCCTCGTTCAAACGCCTGAAGAGAACAACGTTACAGGTTGGTCCTATTCATTCGGAGTAAAACAGCCACACCTATTTCACTAAATGCCTCAGAGAAGAATTAAATTGGTTTCGATTTATGAAACTGGAATTGTAGGTTCGTCCTATCACACGTGCGTTAACATCACAATTCTTTGCGTTATACAAATCGGTAAAAAACGCTGGCCTGTCTATACTTACGATCTCAGTCATTTCAAGGCCACGAAGGTTTTGATTTGTTCAGACAACTAATAATGAATCATTTGTCGTACATTCAACGCCTGACTGACAAATGCAAACGCATGCATTACCAATAGGGCCACGAAGATCAGCTGTATACAGTTGCTACTGTCGGTTGTAGAATTGGCTCCCAGGGTTGCTGGACTAGTTTTTCCTCGAGCTCCGATCATAGTGACTAATTAATAGATGCTACTAACTAATATGCACACGCGTATTCATTGTAGCTATCCATAGTTCAATTAGGTTTAAAACATGGACGTCAAATTTCGCTGACGTGGGCCATTCTAGTGGGGACGTACGTGAAGTACAGCTTGAGCCACGGTCTAATGAGTATTTTGTTGTTTAGACAAGTCTAAGTAGAATCAAGAGTTGTGGGGCTGAAAATATACGAAAGCAGGTAAACGTCATTCAGGCCACAAATAGAGTTAAGAATTGATTTGATCAAATACGTACAAACGTTACTACATCTCCCTTCGTAGAAAACTATTAATATTGTAGGAGCCGAAAGATTCGAACTTCAAGGCAAATATGAACGTTGTTAGATGCAAAAATACAGTAGTGCCTTTGAACAATGTAAATTATATTACTATATAGGAGAACCTATGTATAAGAAACAAGATGCAAGAGGATGCTTACAAAATTTTTAATAGAGTTCTGTTTTTCGACAGAACATTTCTACAGAAACATATAGGATACAGCTTTTTTTGCGCAGATATCCTTAGCGTAGGCGATGCGCACGCTAGTATTTGTCAAATTCTAAAGATTGAAGTGGTCATTTTGTCAGGACTTGCTTTCTTCTGTATCATTATGATCCAAAGAGAAGTGCACCGTTTCGAAATAGTCCATGCAACGGATTTCATTTCTTCGTTATACACACGCAAGTTGAGGAATACAAAGCTCACAGAAGCGGTTTAACCTGTTCACGGCGGTACCGTTGCGGACGGCGAAAAGGAAATATTATCGCCCAATTGCCCTATATATATATATATATATTTATTATATACATTGTGTATACAAAGGGCGAATCCTATAATAAAAGGTGTATTCATAGCAATATAAACTAATTGCATCTTTCTAGCCATAGATATGCATTCCTTCAATGCAACGGGTCGTATTGAAAGTCATTTAAGCGTGCTCCAAACACCCATATCTGAAAAAGGACTCATTTGGATCCATTTCAAATGAGATCTAAAGAAAAGAGAGTTCGAAAGAAACGACTACGTTTTTGCGTTCATATGTAGCAATGCTTTAGTAGCCGCAATTGTCCAACGCTTTCCACTCGGCACAATGACAGAATCCATCTCGCAGGACTGAGTATTAATCTATTGACGGATGTTGTTTAGGTAAAATATACATAATCATGTTTTTTTTTTTTATAAACCTTTTCACGAAATCACTACCTTCAAATCACGTCCAATCTATTTTCATAGATCTTGTTTCGGTACCTATTAGAAAGATCCATACTAGACCCTTGATGGATTAATGATATTCCTAGGCAGCTGGATTTTCAACTATTCCACAGATTGTTGAAGGTGTTTGATAGGCAATAAGAAGGCGATAGCCGTGGTAGCGTATTAACCTCTTCATAATTAGTATCTAGTAAAATTGTCTGCGCGAGTTCGGCTTCCTCGTGTACCAGGCGTTCTTATAACGCGTTTATTACATAAATCGTACATATTTTTACCTATTTGGCGGTATATAATCGCATGCTTTAGACACTGGAATGAAACGCATTGAAATACTAACTACATATGTATAATTTTTTTTTTATATGCAGACCGCTAAGTCGAGAGCGAGACTGCTTCCACTTAATAAGAAAGGAACGACTGACAAGTATCTCGTTCATGGAAAGAACTGTTACTGCATACAATGTGTATAGCAGATTGATTAGCTGATAGGAGACTTGTCAGCATAGATAAGAAGTTAAATAGTATGTCTTCTAATATTCTATAAAATAGGGTTTGTTTGTACCCGTAGTTCAGAACAAAGACGGAGTCGTCTTTCTACGGTTAAATAAAAGCTGTTTAGTTTGTTTTTGTCTTAATTCAAATCATCCATATTGGCTTTTCGCACAACTTTTTTCAGTATGGTAATTCCGGTTTCAAATCAGTTTGTGCAAAAATATCATAACCTGGAAAATCTTGTGTACAAATTTTGTATATGCTGGCACATCATTTAGGAACGTAGTAAATCATTTAGGAACGATTGACGAACACAAGCTGAATCGTTTTACCACTATATAAATCGCACGCAGAGTCACTGTTGCTGTTCTAAACGGGCAATATCATTCCTATTATTACATGCAGTGTACCCGGTGTTTACGCAAAACAGCTGCATAGCACTACTACTCGCACAGAAGAGGTTTCTACTCTTCTATTTAATAGTATCTATTTAAAGGAAAACTAATCAACCAGGAATATATATATATATATATATATATAACGTACACTTTTGCTAATATAAAAATAAAACAGCTAAACTTCTGTTGTTTCGTTAAGTTTCTGAATAAGCGTGAACTGAACTGGCATAGACTTGATAGGCAAAAACTAGGTTAGGTTGATCACCTGTCTGTATTGACACGACACGGAGATACAATTATCGATGTTTAAATACACTGAATATAAATATACACACATACACATTGTCCACAATGCCCAGACGATCAAGGCTGGCGGGTAAACTGATTCAAACATAGCAAAGTTATTTAGATATGAGATAAACGCTGGAAGTAGTCAACCATCTGAAGATGATTCTACTACTAGAACAACACTCGAAAAATCAACGCGCATACTGAAAATACGTTGGTGATAAGCGTATATGAATCTCTAGGACACTGAATTTTCATGTAATCTACTTGTTAATTTTTACAAACGTAATTTTGTTATTAATTTTTTTATTATTTTGATATTAAGGTAAGGTTGGTAAGAGAGAACGTACGGAATGGACAATCCTAAACCCGATCGCTAAATATCCGGGATATATAAAGTCGCATAAAATTTGCACACCCACGAGTTGCTGGTGGGCCCACATAAACAAGAATAAGCTGGTTAAATTCGGGAGAGGTATCAAAGACTTCTCTAACTAACTCACTTGAATAACTTTATGTAAGTAGGCATAAGGATAACTTTAATGATGAATCTGTTATATGAGTCATTTTACACAAGAATGCAGGGCAATTTGTAAAGTAGCCAGCATATTTTCCTATAGTAAAAACTGTCAAGATGTATTGCGATAACCAGGTACCTTGAGAAGGCTGCGTAGATTAGATTTCCTCTGGTGGTTCCAGTCGAGGAACGAGCGTTTAGTCGAGTTAATAAGTAGGTTTGGTCTGGCTTGCAACTCGGGTCTAACTAGGGTGCCGCAGGAATTAGCATTTCGGCACGCTCGTAACACTGTTCCGGCCCAGATTGTATGTGGGCTTTTTTCTTGCCAACGATTTACACCAGTGAACGTTCTTCGTTGACCCAGCTTACGTTGACATCTTTGTTCTGGGTGGAACCGTCATCGGCTGCTCCTGGTGTACCGTTATTGATACTGCAAATTCTGCGCATAACGAAATGAATCGTTCTCTTGCAACATTCTAGCTGATGGCTCAACCAATAGTCACAGCTGCGTAGAGTTATTACGAGTTTTTGTGCAACAAACTTAGGTAAATTCGTATTACGAAAACATTCATTCCGCCTTCTACGAGCCTGTACACAACAGTAATTCGTGTAGGCTTTGCTTTATTCCAGAATTTACAACGAAATCACTGAGATATAGGTTTTCTAAGGCTTGAATATGCACCATATGTGGCCTATTTCATTTCTAGAAACATACATTATTGTACGTGGTAAAACTATGTATGCTTTACATACGTTAGTATGTATTTATATAGCAAACATTTATTAGAAAATAAGACAGGCGTAATTTATAAAGAGACGGTGAGTTCTGTATTGCCAGTCAAAAATTGCGTCGCTGATTTTGCAGAGTGTGACTTGCTTATTCGATATTGTTGATGCTCAGTACTCAGAGTCCTCATTCATCATAAATTCATGAATGGAAATGTAGTTTTGGATCAGGTACCGCAACACAAACATTTCATATTTCAGATGGTCTACACAACATTCGTGAATAAATAAATAAAGTTTACATTTCAGACAGAGTGACCTCTATATACATCAAGGGGTGAATGAAGATCCAATGGATGTTCCGAATGCGGTGGATACTTCCGATTCGCTTGTAACGTTTATCTAACCACGCTTCCGGAATTAACTCCGGAATATTTTGGCAGTACAACGATAAAAAAGCTACTTTTGCAATTTTAGCCTTAAACGACACTTCAGTATAACAAAAGCAGTGTTACTCTTTGCACGAGGCGATGCTTTAGCTCGGACCAAGCATCCTTGTTTCACTCATGATGAAGTTTTCCTGAAATTGTGTATTGCGTTGTCCACTTTGAGAAAACTAGTTCAGCTTTGACTAGTGAAAAGTATCTTTGTTCAGTGACGAACGGATACATGCTAAGTTACGGTTGGATTATATACCTCACTGATTTTGGTTTTTCATTCGATTGGAATCATTAGTTACTTTATAAGAGAGCATATCGCAGAGTACCGTGTTTTAATGTTACATTTCGCGTTCGCAAACTAGCAAATAAGAAGATTTTATATTCTTTTCCTTGTGGGAACTGAAACTTCTTAGCACCAACATGTTATCCTCGGACAATATCGCTTTTAGAAGATGAATCAAAGCGTAATATCAATCCCAGTTATTTTTATACGATCTTGTTAATTAGCGTATTTAATTTTACTGTATTTATTATTTTAATAATGTTGGCACTTCTAGGGTAGAGCATGCTAAGCTTGTATCGCTACGAATTGCACTTGGTTGAAGCGTCTGCGTAGTTTACAATACTACAGTATTTTGCCTTTCCGTCGCTGCCGGTCCACCCAGCTGCGATCTTCTGGCGACCTAAACACAAAACTTAACAAACAGAGCGACTGCCACACGCACGCATTGCTTTATATGCTCAAAAAAATCTCCCCTAGGGTAACGCCTGTTCTCCGACATTAATGCACCTATATTTGAGGGCCATATGGGGAGATCGGAAATTGACATATTCATTTTAAACTTGAAAACTAAAAAAATTCGATAGATCAGAATGAACAATCCATTAGGTGAGAGCAGCACTCTAGTACGGCATATACCTGTCAGAACGGAAAAATGTCTCTGGCGGAGAGCAATTCCGCAAACAAAGGGCGTTAGCCTATCGAAAACTCTGGATTCAATCAAGCTCGGTGTCATGATTAAGACTCTGTTCTCGTTTCCTCGCAACTTGGACACTGACACTTACATCGAAATTTTGACCGAAGTGCTAAAATTAATCGTAACCTACCCGGCCTCGGTAAAAACGCCCTTAGTTTAAGAAAAGTGGCTTGGTTGTACTGGATTAGACAAATGATCTGACCAGGCGTCGCCCAGCTATGAGACCGCTGTATAATTTCCCAAAAAGCTGGTACACACTAGTACTGGAGTCAATCCTGCAGAAGTACCCTGCAGTGATGCAAACAGGAAAGGAGCCATACAAACGGTTGCTCAAAAAGAGGTTGATATTATGGCGTGTTAATTAAACAGTGCTAATAGCGCGCTGCAGAAATATGCGTGAAGCGACGAAAGCTATCCCACGAAGTGTGTCTTTATACGTTGATGTATGGGATAATTAAAAATACATAGTGTATGAAGCACAGGGATATAATTATTTGTGTTTGGGATGTTGTATTACCTGGAGCAGTTCCAACCGAACAAGGCGGTAGGACTGACCTTGACCCGCAATGGACGTTTGCAAAGTGCGGCTGACATGTACCCGATAGGACAACATTATTCAATGCCTGCCTATAAACTGAAGTAGTGCCCTCCTGAGCGTTATTTTTGAGAGAAAAGGTACCCCATACGACACATGTAGCGAGCGATCGCGAAGAAAAACTGCTTCGTGCTACAAGCTTCATGCCATGCGTCTGACGAGGTTCTGCAAGCATATTCATGTACCCAGACTGAATAGCATGATTTCCACGCTATACGCTTCCTACAACGGCATGCGGCATGATATCATGAGACCATTAAGTTGTGGTGCAGCGGCCGCTAAGCTGCTACCGGTTTTGCTCCATATAGGTAAAACAGTTTCTAGGTACATGACCAATTCCGAATACGTTGAGAAGTCAAGTCTGATGCTGTTTGGTCTCATGGCCGTTAGCGTGAATGGGAATGCAAGGAATATTTTTCAGTCCTATGAAGCTTTGTGCGGAATTTTCCCGGCGGCTTCGTAAAATTATGTGCGAAAGCTTCGAAAGCCCGACCGTGAATATTCACAAAAGGAATCTCTATAAAATGCCCAATCGTCCTGAATAGCAGGTCGAGGTCAGCTTCATCGTAGGGTAAACCTTCAGATGGTAATACCATTATTAGTGTGCAAGATTATAATTCTAAGAGAAACATTTTTTAGCTCGAACAAAAAACTCCTTTTGCTTTTATCAGGAGTGATTACAGTAACCAAAGGCTGTCACTTTGCGAGAAAGTACTGAAAAACGAATCTCTACGAAGAAGTCTAATATTGGCCCATGCGAAAATATGGGCCATGCGTATCTAAAAATCGCCCGTAAAATGCATTTACCAGTGTTTGGTTTTGAAGAGTAAGATCAGATGTCCACATATATATATATATATATATATATATATATATATATATATATATTTATGGAAGGGTATAAAGGGGCCGCCTTCTTCATGATTTTCCAGAGAATAACTCAGCAGATGTCGAGTTCATCCTTAAGGTGAAGGGCGCTATGGGCTCACGAAGACAAAGTGATGACGCGCGGTCTGTTTCAACGATTGACACAATGTGTACTGCTACCACAGATACCACTGATACGACACTGCAGTTCCAGGACAGTTACGAGGACCTCATGGACATGGTTTGTATATTGCTTGGCTAGAGAACACCTACTTATGTAGATAAGTTATACAATGGTATTAACGCACGCAGATACTATAAATATCATTACGTAAGATTATTATTGTATATTGTCTGTTTACTGAGATCTATCGCTCAATGACAAGTCCCACCAATCCCGAAACTCTTAATATAGTTTGTAAGTAAGATCAAAGAAAACGCAAGCAAACATGTGAAAAGTTTAAACGCCACCAGAAGGAAGCTGAGTTTCTAATCATCATTTTTCTTCAAATACGACATGAACTAAAGTTGAATTTAGAAGCCATTATAGTAATTATTAAGTAACAGATCTTTCTAATTATCTAATTAATGAATGGTTTCTGTTTATAGTTCGTCACTTGAGAACAAAGCTACAGCCATAAACATCTGCATTTGAAACGTATTATTTTAGCTCAATTCTTGAATTTGCAATGTAACGAGACAAAAGTTCTGGTTGAACTCATAAGAGAACGGATCGATAAACGGATAATTCACCGATGCGAAATTCTAGAGCAAATAATTAAATTAGGTGTCGGCAATCGATACAAACAAGAAAATAACTCATTGAATCTCCGCTAAAATGATTGAAAAATTTCGATTTAAGAATAAAAGATTTAAACCCGCTTCTGTTCTTGAAGAAAATTTTAAAGGGTATGAATTCTTCGTTGTCTTGGTCATTATCTCCTCAACCAATTACCCTAAGTAAAACTAGCGTCATAGGGTCCATATAGACCCTTTGACGTCTGCCTCAATAAACTCGTTCTCTAGAGAAAGATCGAAGTGAATATAGCAATCCATAGAACGCCCCTTACCAAACAGTTATTGTAAAGCGCTTGCTTTAACTGCGCATTAAGCTGATCAGCATTGTACCTTTTAAAGTCGGTTAAAGTATCGAGCATGCCTGATAATTAACTCATCCAACGCCAAAAGGTGTGCCGTTGAAACAAAGCTTAGATATATACAAATCTCCCCATAAGAGCATCACCAAATCCTATAGTGGGCCAACTTCCTCGCAGACTCACTCTTATATTCGCAAAATTTCAAATCATACTTTATTTATGTTCTAATTAACAATTTCATAGCATACAATAGATTAACGTAAAACCAATGAAACTTTTTGATTTCGCACAGCTAGACGTGTTGATAATGAGAACTTTAAATAAATACGGGTGTACAATGGTAATAGCAGAGCCCTGCGCACGCGGCGGTCATTTTCTCCTATTTCCGTTCACTAATTTTCATTTAGTTTTATAGGCAGGAGTGGTGCAGTGTTTGCTTTTCACTAGCCTGGGCGTGTTATTTCATTATTGTGCAATGTCAGTATCTCGTCACGCTTAAATTAAATGATGTGCTTAAACGAACGTACTGCGGCGCCTTAAGTAGGACGTTGAACCAATTCAAATAATAATAATAATGCCTTTTAGACCTTAACGAAACGATTATACGAAACGAGTTAGGAACCAGCACATGACGATTCGAGTTCACGAGCCAGCCACCGTTAGTAGAAAGACGTGTCGGTCTCTTAAAATATTTCTTTTTCTTGGAAACAATCACGCTTGAAGGAAACGCCGCGGATTTTAATGGCATGTGTGAATATGACGGGTATGTTATATTGCTTACTTCTACAGCTCTACCCAAGATTTATCTGTAGCTTAATGTTTCGGCTTGAACGGATTTTTAAGTAAACAAAATGTTCAGAGAATTGGCAGAATTCGAAAAAGTACGCGGCCTAGCAGGCCGGATCTAAGCCCAAGTTGCTTTCACACCCAATCCAGCTTTTCTCATCGGTAAATCGGTAATTCCGCATAGTGGTCGTGAGACTCAAAGAGATCCGTCAGATACTTCATTAAGTACGTTTCTTTAATATGGGTCTGAAAATTTCCCAGACATTTAGTGGTCACAGAAGTGGACTGAAATTGGGCTAGTCTGAACTGTTTCTGAGAGGCTATTTGGGGAAACGTATTTGCTAAGGAAGGCCATATTTATAAAAATTCGCTGGGTTGTTATTATGCTTTCAAGAATCTCTTCCGTCTCCGAATAGATGCCTCTAAAAGTTCGAGACATTTTGGGTCGATCTGTGTGACTTCTGGAAGGTTCCCTGTTGCAGCAACGTACGCTTTTTCCTATCTCGTGGGTTGCCAACATATGCACTGTGATTATATATGCTGTGGCGCTCGGAAACAGGCTACCTGTATCTTCAAATTTCATTACACCTAGTACACTAGCACCAACGAGATGAACCGCTCTAAAGTTGTATCGTAGAAGTATCACATATTGAAGAGATTTTATTAATAGACAGCAACTGAACTCGAATTATCAAGATTAGAGTAGGCTGGTCCTGAGAGGCCTTTTGCTGCACGGCATTCACTATCATAGCGACTTTACTAGTCCGTAAAATGCAGTAGTAGATTTTTTGCGGCATTGCCAAATTATCTTCTTCCATTTTACTTCTTTTAGTACGATGTCCCAAAGAACGGTATTCATTGCGCTTGCAAGATCAAACTCAATTGAAAAAGTAGTGTTTTTCTAACATATACAAAAGTTCTCGCTGCCCCCAGATCCATCTTTAATTGCGTAACTAGGCTTAACATTGTCGCATTTAGGATTCATGTTTTGCTGAGTACAAGGGCAACTCTCGCGAGTAACGTAGGGCACAATGCCTTAGGTCTGCGATCCTAAGCAGAAGCCAGCGGCCTAATTATAGTTCGAACTGTTACTTGACGGGACGGGCTGGCGTCTACTTTTTCGACCCAGAACCAACTCTGTTTTCATCTATAGGTGAAAAGCGGTCGTCGAATAATAGAGCTCAAGCGATAAAAGCTGCTCAGCCTTTCGTTTTAGATTATGAGATATAACTAATTTCTACCATCAGTCCGTCAAAGTGATGTAAGGTGTCTAAATTTAAGCATTAAAAAGGCTGACTATCTCGTCGGCTCTGAAAAGGCCTAACACTTTTACGCGATTTTTTTCTAGCCACGACGAAGCGACAGATGTGATAACTTCCCATGCTTTTCAAATGCCTTTTATCAAACAAATGATGTGCCTCTTGGGTGCTCGTTTGTGTTGGCCTCCTGTCGGTGTTATTCCCGGTAGCTCGATTTTTCTATTGGTTTGACTTTCCTTCATGAAGGCAGATAGCTGGTACACTGCTGCTCCATTTTTTTATACCATCTGTTTCGGGAATAATCGGGTTTTCATCGTAATGTCTAGTAATTTCAGAGTATGACTCGTGCCCTTGTACGTATACAAAACTAACGCCTGTGCCAATCAATCGTTACATCAAAATTATTGTTATTACCTCCATTGTCATTACGGTTTTCATGTGAGCTTGTTTCATTATAGCAATAAAAAATATGCAAGTACCTGCGCGCATCAGCAAATAGTCGACCAGTGCTTCTTACTACAATCTGACAACTCAAATATTGCAATGTTCATTGTTCGTTACCTATAATGTAGGTAAATGGGTTGCGAAAACAATTGGAAGCATCGGAACAGAAAGTCAGCCAACTAGAGAAGGAAAAAGTGGAGCTGATACAGCGTAAGAGTGCACCTTCCGTCGACGACAAGAAATCACTAGACAAGGCTGCTTCTGAACTGTTACAGCTTAGGACAAAGCTTCATAAGGCCGAAGCTAATACCGAAGAACTAAAGGTAACTAGAATAAGCGTTGAGCCTTAAGTGAAAGATAGTGTCGGTAACGATACTTCTTTCGTCGACTAAAATTTTGCAGTTTTATTCGATGCATCGATGGATCACGAGAACTAGATATGCGAACTCTGTCATAACACCCCTTTTCGCTATTCATTTCTCTAACAACAGGACGATAATAAAGTGCTTGCATTACAAGTCAAAGAACTGGAAGCTGAGTTAGATCAGATAAAAGAAGTCAAAGACTGCTCCAAGGAAGAACTCACACAGCTAAGAAATAAGCTTTCGCAAGCGGAGGCCCTGTGTGAAGAAATCATGGAAGAAAACGAGCATTTCAAGAAGGAAAATCGTGATCTAGAACAGCAGATCGAAGAAATGCACGACAACTTCCGAGAGGATCATAATAACGAATTTCTTGAAGCTAAACGGGATCTCGATGCAGCACAAAAGAATTGCCGGTTAGTGTTGATTAAATTATGTTTACTGCACAAATGCAATTATTATTATAAAAAGTTTAGGTACACGCTATGTACATTTTGAAGTTTAAGTTTGGTCTGAGCAGAGACAAATAGTCGAAACAATCTCCACCATCCATCTTTGAAATGCAGTGTACTTCAATTCAAGATGCGCAAGGCCGAGAAGCGAGTAGAACAGTTAGAATTGGAAAAAAGCCAGCTGGACGAAACAATTAAGGAACTGGAAAAGACTGCCAGAACGCAAGTCGATAAAACCAAAATGAGAAACTTGGAAGAGGAATTAAGGGTTGCCCAGGAACTTAATAACAGGCTTACTAAGGAGCAAGCAGAGCGACCTAAAAGCGTGGTAAGTGCAATTCTAAAACCATTGACAGACAAGAGCGTCTAACTTGAGCTGATTTAAGATACTACTAGGCTAACTTGATTTCGTTTCTATGACCACTTACTTAAAGACTTACTTTATATCTCATTCATGATGTTTGTACATTTTCCTTTTAAATTACCAGGGTGGGGACGAGTACGAAAGGTTGAGTCGCGATCTCCTCGATTCAATGGAACGTGAAGCAGACCTCAAAGAGCAGCTGCGATATGCCGAAGAGGAAAGCCAAAGCTCGCGCAAAAAGCTTGCACAGCTAGAACAAGAAAACGAAGTGCTGATTATGCAGGTACACAAAATGACTAAAGGCGGTGCCTCCACTGGAGATGCAATAACACCTGAAGAAATGAAGATCCAAATGGAAATACAGGAAAAAGAGATACTTGTTTATAAGAGACGTGCAGAAGACCTTGATCACAAAAATGAAGGTAACCTTTTTGATAACTAGCACCGTAAAGCATGCGAATACTAAACGACACGTATCTATAAAATTGAAATGTAGAACATTAAGCTCACTCACAGTTAGCTGATAAAGTACAATATTTATTCAGCACTCCAAAAAGAAGTCAGAGCTCTCGAAATAAAGTTAATCAACACTTCGACGACGAAGCTCGACCTCTCCAAGCTTCCTCCTGGATCGGACAAAAGTCCTATAGGTCAGAAGGTAAAGCTACTGGAGATGGAAGCCAAAGAACTTCGTGCAAAGGTTATCGAAAAGGAACGCGAAGTCGAACGACTCAATGCTGAATTGCAAGTACAAAAACGAAAAGTGTCGAAACAATTGATGGTGCGTAGCCGCTCGCTTGACGGAGACCTTCAGGTAAGTCGTACATAGAGCCAAGCGACTTTGTAGACGATTTTCTAAGTCAACTCTATTGCATAATACTATGTAGATTGAAGGGAATGTACGTAGATAGTTAGTGTACAGCGATGCGCAGCGTAGAGCAGGATTGGGCTTCGAAATTCAAAGGTCTTTATCGATAAGGGCATTGTTTGCAAGTAGCTTAGCACTGAAAGCTTGCAGGCTTATTGCTGGCTAAGTTGACATGATTCGACATTAACACCACTTAAGTGTAAACGTTCTCGCCAAGTTTTGTCCTCGTGTAGCTAGCACTATTCGTGCGCGTTTGTGTGTGTTCGTAATTGTTATGCTTCTCGGGGGAATCACCTGCGGTGATGGATTGTGCCTCCATCACGGAATTCGCAGCAGGTCGCTCCACAAGTGGACCTGAAAAGGAAACTCCAGGTTGTGGAAGAGGAGGCTGCTATACTAAAGCGGAAGATATCCGACTTGGAGGAAGAAACTGAACGGCTTAGTGAAGAGAACAAACGTCTTCATACAAGGGCTTCCCGGAGGCCAACACCCAGTCCCGCTGACCAATTACTGGCCGAAAACGGAGATCTCAAATTGAAAGTAGAAGAGCTAGAAAAGAAATTAGCCGGGGCCAACAGAACCCTTGACACCGTAAACGCCAGATCTACAGAGGGAAGGCCGCCGAGCGGCTCAGATAAGGAAGAGCTTAACGGTGAGCAAGGATATTAGTTAGAAACGACTTATCAAACGTCTTCCCTATTTCAGCATACTCAACTTACTACTTGCTACGTTGTTTATGCGTAATTTATCTGGACAATTATTGTAGTTCCCCCCCTAAAGTAGCGTACCTTCTAGCAATTTCACGATCACAGTAAAACTCATATGATAACGATACCTGCTCCAATCTTAGCTCAGTTAAACGAAGAAACAATTGCACAAGCTGAAGGCGTTAATTTCAGGGTTGCGGAAAACGTTGCGATCGAAAGACGAGCAGATAAAATCGTTGGAGGAAAAGATTAAACAGCTGAGCAACGAGTTTGCACGAATCAATAAGGAAAACAAGAAACTGATAGAAAATATGGGCTATCAGAGAAGGCCACCGAGGATTATTAAAGATACTGCCACCATCCGAGAACTCCGTGAAATCATAAAGGACCTGGAGGATGAAATCGGCGATCTCCAAATAAGCCTCAGAAGTACTGAGGTATAAAATGACCTTCTTCGACGCTTTGATGTTTTTTGCCGATATAAAATCTCTCAACAGATCCGATAACTATAAAAAAATTAAAAGCATAATAAAAATCGTATAGCCTTATATATGATAAAATTGTCTTTTAAAAGTAAAATCAAATGTATTTCAACACCACACTTAGTCGATCCTGTATAGATCCTCTGATCTGTATTTTCTGTTTGCAGATAACGCAAGATGGAAAAATAGCAGATCTTCAAAAAGAACGCAATCGTCTTCGCGAAGATCTTTGTACTATGGAAGCTCGGTTGAAAAATGGCGGTGGCAGTTCTGGCAGCAGCTCAGCGAATGACGAAAAGCTACGCGTACTCACACAACAGTTAGATACATTGAACCACACTGTTAAACAAGCTCAAGTAAAACTGAAAGAAGCACAATCTGAGCTTACTTCTAAGACAAAGGCCATTGAGAGTTCGCATCTACTTAATAAAAAGCTCGATAAAGAAGTTCAACAGCTAAAAGATGAGGTACGTCTTGAACAATATATGGTCTGGCGTTTATGTGTAGCTGTATTTTTTGTAATTTTTGTATTTTGCACATTTATAATGTGTTTTCCTCGTCTTTTTTATGTTCATAAAATAAAAATTGTTTTTAATGAAATGTTGAACTTTTTTTTCCTTATGAGGCACTCTAAAGCGAACTTATTATGCTCCAACATTTTTTGCCTATAATATAACTCTTTGACAGCTGGACGTTGCAAGAAGTTCGAGACCGGGCGGCGATCGCGATAAAGAGAGGCGAATTCGTGAGGAGTATGAGAGAAAAATAGAACGGGCGGCAGCGGAAGCTAAAAAGGTGCTGTCCGAGGAACTTGAAAATCTCCGAAAAAAACTGCAGATGACTCAACAACAATGTGATAAACGCGAGGATGAAGTAAAACGTGAAACTGAAAAGATTCGAACGATGAATCAGCAGTTCCGCAAGGAGAAGGACGACTGGAACACGAAGATCACCGATCTTGAAGAGAAACTCAGGTTTGTACTGTTATGACGCGTGTGAGAAAGGTATTCGCGCAATTTTCCGCATTTATATACAAACACTAAAGCTGTAACCTTGAACCTTTGTTGCCCTTTTTTCTCACGCAGGTCCGAGTGCCGTCGTCGTGAACGTCTTGAAAGGGACCATGAAAATGAGCTTAAAGCAAAGGCTGAAGAGCTCGTAAGCATTCAGAACAAAATATTCTCTATGGAACGGGACTATCGCCGCTTACAAGGCCGCTTCGACGATGAAGAGCATTTTCACAATCAACAGCTGAAGCAGCTTGAAAAAGATTTATCAAAGAAGCAGGTCAGTGACAATTCGTTTTGCTGGCACCTTTTTTCAGAAGGCACAACTGAGTTAAAGAGTAAATGATTTCGGTATAATAATTACAATAGCACAGCATTTATTTTGCCGCTTGTAGAGTACAGGTATGCATATGATAAAAGTCATCTGGTGATTACCAGTGCAGTATAATTCCAATCCAATTTTTTTGCTAACTCCACAAGACTAACACTCATGCTATTTTATTAACGCTGTATGCTATACAATGTGTTTCGGGTTTTTGTATTAGCAAGAATTGGAGGACGCAGTCAATAAGTATGAGGTTCTTGAGGAAGAACACATCAGCGTGCGAATGAGACTTCAAGAGGACAAGGATCGTGCTGAAAGTATTGCCAAACAAAGCCGCCACGATTACGAGCGCGTCAATATGGAGCTGTCGACGTTGCGCGAAAGTATCCAAAGTCGGCATGAGGCGTACACCAACGAAAAACTCGAGTTTCAAAACTACATACATGAAGTCGAAGGTAAGGTGAAACGACTACAAGAAAGCGAGGTTGAAAAACAGAGGTTGCGGCAAACTTTAAAGGAGTGCGAGGCACAGATTGATGACTATAAACGTAGCGAGCGAGCTCACAAGGAAGAGAAGGAGCGTCTAAAGACACGCGTGAGTCCCCAATCGTAATTATAGCACTTTTATCGATTGTTCTGGATATATACGTGAAATTTTGTGAATTTTTTCTTAATTTCTTTACTTAATCTCTATGGACAGTTCTCAGTATCAATAATACCCTGCAATAGCCCTGTGCACATACACAGATTATGTGTAATAAATGTCTTCAAATGAAAAACCGTCATGTGATTTAACTACATGTGTTTTCTGATTTAGAACGATGAATTACAGATGAAATTGGGAGAGATGGAACGCACCGAACGAAGTTTACGCACATTGCAGGCAGGTAACACACAGGAAAGTAGCGAACTTAGGGCCAAATTGCAGCATTCAGGACATGCACACAAGGCCGAAGTGGCAGCGCTTCGCAGCGAGTACGAAGGCAAACTCGACATTATCGCAGGCGAACTTGACTCTATGCAAGGCCAAATCATCTCCCTGGCGAAAGAGCGGGATAACCTAAGAGAACAGCTTGAAGAAGCCAAGAAGGTATTGGTCATTCTGACAGATAAAATAATTCTGCCATCTGGGCCGCAAATAGATACGTGCTAGTTTTTCAGTTTTATTGGGCTCGCTTTCCGATAAAAAGTTTTTGGGTAACAGGCGAGAGGTCTTTTTTTATTTTTTTTCACGACTCCCACCCAGACTCTTCATTTAACCATACTACAGATAGCATAAGTAACTACCCGCTTGTCTCCGCAGCCTATCCTGCGTGTTGGCTAGCTGCAATCCAAGAAGTTATTATTTTTCCCTTATGTCGCCCGGGCTAGAAGGTCTCCCTTGCGCGACGTGACGTGCGAATGGGTAACGAAAGAAGGTAACAAAGCCCTTCATCCTATTGAGGTGAAAAAGCATCCCGTGTGGTATCGTGTATTGCCTTTTACGTGGGCAAACACCCTACATACTTGCAGTGCGTGCTGAGCCGTGTCCTTGAAGCCTCCTGTGTCAAGGAAGCGGCCTGGCTACACACCTTCGGTGAAGTTATGGTTGTCCACTGAAAAGCTGCAGGTGCACAATTTTATTCAAAATAAAATGGAAAATCTAATTGAAAGCTTCTGGCTCATTATGGTTTACTTATAACAAGAGATGAAGTGGCATAGACTATTGGCCTTTTTTATGTACAACACTGGCAAGAGACACAAAAAAATTTTTTCAAAAAAAAATCCAAACAAAGGACGAGGTCCAAAAACGTCATGAGAAGTTCTTTTCTAAGCGTCTGCGGCGGCTTGAGTCTTACTCCAAAAAAATTAGCCTGTAAATCTCAAATCGGAACCGAGCGATCTATATGCTGAATAGCTGGTCCTCAGTTGGGCCTCCTAATCTTGGCTTTAAAATCATCGCGTATTGTTTGGGTAATAAGACCTGTTTGAATCAGGGAGTGCCTAGAGACAGCAAGGGGTTGCTATACTTATCGTCTTTTCTACTGTTTCATTATAGTAGAAACATGCGTCAATAACGAAATTTGGACTGAAATCACATTTGTGCCCGTTCGGTGAGAAGGCGAACATGCTACTACTACCTAAATGATCACAATGGCCAAAAGCGTGAAAAATAGGGAAATTCAAGATAATTTTCACTTTTGGCAGAATTAACGTGCAACTAAGGGGTAGTCTTCCATTTTTCGCACATAACTTAGGTCTCATTAAAAAATAGTGGACTTCGGCTGATATATTCTGTCGCAGTTATCACTTTGTCAGAACATTGCCTTATCATTCGTTTTATCCTCTGGTGACATTCCTTAACGAAATCTAGTTATTTGTAAAGTATGAAGGTGGCTTGGGTGTTCGATACACATACGCCAGCATGTTGACAGCATGAAGACTACATACCGTGAAGAACGTATTTTGAATCTGCTAAAAGAAAGAGTAACCGAAAAGAGTGAACATCTATAAATTTTCCTGTGCCAGAATTTGAGCTGCTTTAATGACATGTCGCGCGGATATAATTGCTAACCTAATTACCCCATAATCTTTCCTTACTTAACAGGCAATTATTTACTATCGGCCTGTTCCTCAAGCACTATTATTCAAATTACAGTATTTCTCACAGTAAAGAAAAGAAAATTAGCACAACAATGTTATGATTATGATTCGATAAGTAGTTGTTAATATAGTTGTTGTTTACATTTTGCTTTGCCCGTGTTTTCTGGTATTTAGGAACTAAATCGGCTAAAAGGCAACGCTGTGCGCGATGAACGCATAAAGAGCCGAGAGGCCGCAGAACATGCGTTCAAGAAGATGGAGGAACTTCGTTTTCAAGCTCAGGAAATCAAAAACCAACTAGATTATGCACTTTCAGAGAACAGGAAAATGAGAATTCAAATAGATGCAGACAAATCATCCTTCGAAATTCAAGTGGCAACTTTAAAGTCTAAACTTAACCAGGTAAAAATCGAAATAGACGGAGCTTACAGGGTAATTGATCAGATTGGATGAAAGTATCTACATGGAACCAACAATCTGAATCAAGTTATGTCCATGTACCGATACAAATATCCCCTACGGACGTTTTATTCCGATCTTCACAAGGCTTCGGGCTATAAATCAGTTTTAAGATATCCCTTTTTTTTTAGTAAAGAGTGGTATAGTACGTGAATCAAAGTTTATATGGCCGGTATAGTTTATTCCACTGTTAATGTGAGTGTTAGATTGGATTCCCATGAGTTCTTGTTCTGGCGCACATGACACATACTCAGCCATCCCTGGACTATTTCGAAGCGCCATCTTGCTAAAGCACACTTGAGCTGCCCCTTCGACAGTATCAATTCAAGGAGTCGAGCAAACAACCATTTGTACTATTGATTATTGCATCTGATGGATCTTTGAACATCATTTCGTGATAAATCAAAGATGGTCGGCTGCTTTACTCTTTCGCAACAAGCATCTATAAAATTGTTCGCTTCAGTGGCCTTAGGGAATGCCTGTCTAATTTCTACAGCATGTCATCCCTCTCTAAGGTTTTTGTAAACGATAACTGACATGAGACGTCGAGTTGTGCCGTTCATAGAAGCTTAAGGCGTTCATCAAAAAAAGAAGATCTTGGGACCAGAGAATGCCCTCTTGGCTCTCTTGTACAAGTTTAGTAGCTTCTAGTGTTCCACTTTTTTTGAAAGACAAACCTTGATTTCGTCCATGTTTTTCTACATGTTTACGTCCGTTACGTTTCTACATGTACGTTTGGAAGAAGCCTTCTTGCATTGCCACAGATGTCTAAGAGATAACTTTTTGAAAATAACATAAATATAAAGGGATACATTTATTACTCCAGTGCTGCAATGGAATAAAATGAAGAGGCATACTTTACTCACATACTAAACAAAAGCTTATTCATTTTTCTCCTCGTTAATATTAATATATCAGTATGAGGAGGCCAAGCTGTTGGAAACATCTCGCGGCAGTAACAAACTGTATGCGAAAACACGGCTCGAGTTGGCCTGGGAGAAGGAACGACAAGATCAGCAAAAGGTCCTTCATGATGCCCAGAGGATCTTGCGCGACCTCAAAGAACGTCTTCTGCGCGCTGAACATGAGCGTGAGCAGCACCGTGAGCTTCTCAATAAACAAATGCAGAAGCAGATGAGCGAGCTTAGCGAAGACCAGATTACGAAAGAGCTTCTTGACGTAAGTATCCTAATCTCTGTCTACGCTCGTCTCCTCGATAACTAGACTTGCCTAATTAAATAAGATCGCATAACTGGAGAAAATCCGACTTCTACAAATCCGAATAATTTGAATCAGGAATCGAAACTTTGACTGCATCCAATTCTTTAACCTTCTCATAGCTATGTCAACCATTTGGATACTCTCGAATAAACTCGGTGGAGATTTGTACGCTTATTAATATGTAATGTGTTGTTGGTCCATGTTGAAGATCCAGAAATGCACTTAGCCTAGCAACGCATGCGAAGTGTGCGTCTGAGCGTGTGGGTCTGGAAGAATTTTTCGGTATATGTCTAATGGTGTAAATTCTATTTCATGCAGTTACAAGCTGAATTGGACGAAGCCAAAGAGAACATGCGTCGTCTGCGACACCACTATGAGCGTTCGAGGAAAGAACGCGAGCGGCTCACGAATGAGCGCGACGAATATAGAGCGAAGACCCTATGCATGAATGAGGTACACTCAGAGACAAGTCACATGGCTCAAGACTTCGCTCGGCTAGTCGAAATGATTCAAGCCGACGGGGATTCAGCGAAATCGCGGCCATTGCGACCAAATAATCGCGAGCAAATTCGGGCTGAGCTACAAAAGCTTGTTGGTCGAATGGAATCCATTACGAAACTGACCTCGCCAGCGGCACAGATTGCTCGGAACCAATCATTCAAACGTGCTGTGAGCGCGTCAGACGTCAGTCAGGCATTACCATTCATCAGGGCACCTCCACGCACCAAATCGAAGAAAGCAATGTCACTTGGACAGGGCTTTGGTTCTGATCAGAAGCTTTGGGCGGGTTCGGGCGACAGCCTCGCATCAGGTATTTCTCCAGCTGGGTCGCAAACTTCTTTACAGCGACATGCCACTGGCTACGATAGCGATGCCTCTATTGTGTCAGCACCGGCTCACCATTATGGCAAACCTGGGGTGGTAAGCTCGCTAAAATCTAATAATAACATTCAGTATATAGATATCTATATAAAGGGCTAACAGCAACAAATATATCTGTTTCAAGGCGTATAGAAAGGTAATTGAAGTTAGTAGCCCTAATTTTCAAAAAAATAATAGGAAAATAGAGGCCATAGGACAGCTGATTTCAAAACTAATGTGTATGACTAATGAAATTTAACGAAGCTTTATGTTTCGATTGTAGAGCTTTGATTCAGACAACGATTTGAATCAGGTGTCGGATTCCGAAAGTTTACCTGGCCACAAAATCGTACGTAAGAAAACTCTCAAAGAGCGTATTATGGGAATGAAGTCGTCGATGTCAAGGTTGGACGTTACACCTGATCGAGAATGTAGAGCCGGCTCGCTGTCTCGCACATCATCAAGCGAGGCACCTAAAAGTGTCCTTAAGGTACGTATACCTGAGAAATGGGACTTCAGCATTTGAAGAACAAAGTGACTTTAAAAAAATAGAAAAAATAAACCTTTGAAGTAGTCCAATATCGGCTGGGCACTAAATGGGATAGTTAAACTCGATCACTGCTAACATTGAGGTTATGATATGACCCATGATATGATTGTTATGTGGGAGAGGCATATATATATATATATATATATATATACTTGCATCGATTCTATGCTTTTTGTACGCTTAATTACATTGTCGCGTTCGAATAATAATTAGATGGTACCTAAAATCATCGAAAATTTAGATTGTCGTGCGGAAAAAATTGGTCCCATCAGCTGGTAGATTACGATGACGTCATTTGTTATTGTTGGTCGTTTCACAATGAATAGACTATTTGTTTGTTTTCAGTACGCTACCCCAAAACGGACCGGTTCAAATAGCTCCTTTACTGAGACTCAGGTTTAATTAAAACGATTGCTAAAATTATGGATTTTGTTTAAAAGCTCTATCGTTCCATAAATGGCTTCTGCAACTGTATATAATTACTACTACTTTATTGTAAATAATCTGTGTAGAAAATAAACTCTAGTTAAACTTTTCTCGAGCCGAGTGTTTCTATACGTATGCATGCTGGCGTGTTCCTTTTCGGTAGCTACTGTTCTAGAAACGTCTGCTGTGCGAGCACTCTCTCAACAGTGTTTAGAAAAAAATTATTCCGCGCAGGACAACTCTAGTGTATATGTACGATTCTAAGAAAGAAATGGTATAATGGACTTCTGGTCGGTGGCATTAGGTCTACCCAATGCTAGATGAACACATATTCGCGAAGTGCCTAAAGTTACTTTGCAGGTTGAGAACAGAAGCGGTCGTTTCATGCACAAGAACTCATCCACAGACAATCATTGAAGTAGGTCACTTTGCTGAAAACGCTTTTTGCATGATACATGCAAATGTGACTACACATATAGTATTTTACATGCCGTCCGACTGACCTCGTCCGACGTCGAGTGAGCGCTTCAAGCTCGAGGCGAACAGAGACAACGATCGCAGACGCAACACAAATCAAACGGAGTTGACAAAGTCACCAGCCGAAGCATGCGGCTACTGACAGAATAATATCTTGTAAATGCGACATTGGACATGTGTACGTATGTTGTCAGAATGTTAACAGCTTAATGTATCCATCGTTGAATCCCAAGAGCATGGAAATAGAGGTTGTTTCATGGAAGAAAGGGCAAATCAAGGCGAGGGCAAAACGATAAGCGGTTCTGGCATCGGACGGATCACATCTGGTCGCCTTACTACTGAAGGCAGAAAGTGTATCGACAAGAATGTTCCTTGGTACCTATTAATAGTAAATCAGCTCACCTGGTTTGTATTTTTCATAAAAAAAGGCTCTAGATGGAACTGTCTAACGTTTAAAGTGGAAGCAGAAAACAAAAGCGTACGTAATAAGGAAACAGCAAACTGAGTAAGCCTACGATGTTCAGTATCAGTACATTGTATAGTTTATAAGTGTATGCACACGCATTTATTGCTTAGCACTATATGCCATGTCGAGCTGTTGAGTATAATCATCATAACAGCAATGATGAACATGCCGAAATAGTGTTGGCCACTCATCCGTTAGGTCAAGGCTTATTGCACCTGTTGTCCGGTTTTCAAACGAGCACTAGCTTGACTATCCTGATGTAATGGTAAGTTGTCGCTGAACAGTTTTGTTTTAGCGTCTTACGTTATCGACCATCCTATTAGATTTGTTATATTATGATAGTTTACCACAGTAGTTAAAACGGTACGATCTGACGCTGCTTACTCTGTGTGTGATAGCCATGTCTCTATGGGCCGTATGACACTCGATCCATTAGAACGTTGTAGAGGTTTTCTCACTTTATCGGAAATAGTCGTTAGCCAATAACAGCAGCAGCAGTAGTCCATATTGTTTTCACCTTTAACCTAGAGCCCCATACCCTGTATTTCTCGACGACCTATCAGTAGTGAACGGGTTAGGCTAGATACAAGGCTTGACAGTCGAGTACAAGCTTCGGTATATATCCATGACGCAGGTTCAGCTTTGTCAAAGGTAACAACTCTCCTTCTGCTATCACATAAACCCTACCTATAGAACAAAAGCCTGCGACACATTTTAATTTAACATTTTAGTGTTAAACGAGCTCAAAGTAAACTGGAACCGACAGGAGTTTCGATTATATTTTAAAAGCAAGCATCTTATACACAGAAATTGAGTTCGACTACATCACTGTTTCACGAATACGTACAGATTCGTTAATATAGATTCAAAGGCAGTCTTTGTGGTGGTAGACGTACGCGTGCTACCTTGTTAGGCTGCATTTTTAGTGACAGAATTTCCGTTTAAGCCAAGATAGGTTGAAAGCACTTTTGAAGACATACTAAAACTCGTCAATGTTGTTCTCTGGTTTGCTACGTGAGAATTCGGATTGCTATACGTTGGCTTGAAGAAATATATTTTGAAAGCTACAGTTTCACAAACATGTAGTAGACAATGAGCCTGAAGCGCATGCTTTTGCCTTAGACGCCACTGTACAAATAGGCATTTCTACACTTTGTAACCGTGTAAGCTCTTACCGAGTAGAAACGCTAACTCGCTATCAGTACTGACTAACATAGCTGCGATGCGATATTTCTTGCGTCTTTCTTAATATCGCGCTGACACAGCGTACCTAGGATCATATGTAATGTCGAAAGGCAGGTCTGAATACAGCCAGACCGCCTGATATGTACACTGACGCCTTAAATCTAAGCACTATTGTAAAACTTGATGACGATACCGGCTGGCATTACTTTTAATCTAGATTTGAATATGAATAGAGAACTGTCAAGCTGAGCTTCCTACTAAAATTAATTCAGGCGCTTTAAGCATATTGTTACACTTTCATCGCCGTTAGTTACATTATTGCTTTTTATCAGCCCGACAGAACGAGTGCGGATCCGCAGGTACCTAGCCAGATTACCTTTGAAGGTTAGCCACTTATAGCCTAGAAAAATAAAGCACTCGCACATGAGCCTGAGCAGATGTCACCTTACTTATTCCTTCCAAAAATTATGCCTTGCATTTTTTCGCTTTATTATATTATTCTATTTATTTTATTATTATATTCGGGTTATTTAAGACGCTTACCTTTCGTTGGAATGTCATTCTCGCGGAAGCTTCAGTATGGCTGTCTACCTAGAAGAGCTGCGCTTTCGTTATTTCATGACAAACATGTCGTACTAAACTATTCATTTTTCTGCTACGATCCACATTTGGAAAAATGCTCGTACATTAATATACTTCACAGAAAATACTAAATTTCAAAAAAAACAGTACAATTTCTCTTTAATGCATAGAGGTATACAAGGCTTTCGATATTCAACACTTTAATAAATTAATATTACCTAACGTAATTACTGATTGACGTTCTAACCAACGGTATCCCTGCTGTAATTAATAATAAAAGAATCAATCAGATCCAGCCGTAGCTAAACCCGTTTGGCAGCATGATAATGCCCAAACACCGGCTATCTAAAATAGTTGGGAGATTGTTCACTGTACGGGAAAAAAATAGCTACTTTTTTGCTTAAAACTCTAAAAATTAAGCGCATCATATTGAAATTAATTGTCCTCTCCAGCCTTCCTTCCATAAATATATATATATTTTACTTTGATAAAGTTCAAAGGGACTGTTACTCAAAGAATGTTTGATTTCCAGCTGATTGGCGGATAAGCTCGACAACAAATTGTATTGTTTCGGCCTGTTATATCCTGTCCTATTTTCGGAATCATTGAAAAATTACCGAATCAACCTTGTTGTCATGGCATTGACAGTCTAACATTGACATTCGTATGGTGGGAATATACGCAGATTTAACGATACATCATCATTCTCACATACACGCAACAATACAAACGGCAATGATGATGATGATAATACTAACAATAATAACAACAAAATTGGCTCTTTCTCTACTCGGGCAACGAATGTATTTTATTTCGTTTGGTGATATTGGCAGGAAAGCCTCATTGAAACAATCCATTGCCGCTCATTAATATGGGTGTACCTGCTTTACGGGAATTTGATTGTAGTTTAGTGGTGAGATTTTGTAACGTTAATTTTTTATATGAATCTTTTTGCATTTCCTATAAACGGAACTAAGAGCTAAAGAGAACTTATTCTGGATGCAAAGCTTGTCTACAATATGATACGTAGATAGTAGTTCTATCATTACTGTAAAACAGTATCATGCGCTTTCTGCATCTCCCACAGGAAGTTCTCACACGCTGAGTAAGAAAAACACACTTATGAGAGAAAAAATTAGCCATCAGATTTCAGGAAGGGACCTGATAAGGACAGTGGAGCTATAGATCTGCAGTCTGAGGCAATAGGACGATCTTCACGATAGTGGAAAACTCTTTAAGACAATATTTAGAAAGAACGGGAGTGTCAGCTCCATATATTGCAAATATGCGCACCTATGGAGATAATATGTCGCTTAACCGTAGTCGCATATGGGCAAGCTTAGCCATATGCGACGAAAAGAGAATTGAGTGTAAAAAGCTAATGCTACTATGAGGACAAAAAGCATCGACGAACTAGTTGTCTTAACCACAAGTATCAACATATTTGATTAGAAAATTAACCGTACGCTCATTTCTAGCTGCAAATCTCCTTCTTTTACACCAAAGACGACACCCCAGTTATTTTTAATTTTTATACTAAAAGTTGAATCGTGACCTAACGATACCTGGAAACGGTTAACCGAGCTAGTTTTTGTGTAGCATCTAGTAGCAGCTTCTTTTGCTTACATGGGTAACCACTCAATAAGAGAAACCAAGATGAGTGGTCTGATAAATACCGAGTCTATCGCAGCCCACACGCTATTCGGCTTATTCGCTTTTCAGTCGTCTCAGAACAATAGAATGTTTATCTTATACCATTTTTCGGTCTTATTCCCACGTTTTGTTTATATGAATCTGTGTGTCGCGAATGATGCGGATGATGAATAGTGTTTCGTTTTATACGAAAAATATGATTTCTCTATTTTATAGAACTCAACTCGATACGACTCAAAGCAGTAGCATCATTACTGTTTGCATCAGTGTTGACTCGCTGATACAAAATTAAATTGGTCAATAAGCAGAGGCATTTATATATGTGGATTTAAAAACACGTAGATACATTATGCGGATGTGGATCACATTCACCACGTAGCTAAAATCGTATTCAGGAGAAAATAGAGACTTAAAACGTATTATAACGTAAAAGCGAAATCACCATACCGCAGATACTTAATAGACACAAATGTATGTTGCTATATATGGTAATGTGCCGTAGGGTTCCATAATCAACTCCGCGACCACTGGTCTGTGCGAATGTACGCTTCCACTTGCCGCTCTTCATCCAGGTTTGCAACCGCTACGTTATTACAGCCGAAACATTTTTGTCTACGTGAACGGCTGGTATGCCCACCTTTATAAAACGTCAGCGATTTCGGCCTGCTTTCATATAAAAGGCGTGAGAACACAGGAAACGTTAGGCATTTGGGTTACCGGACGTCCGTGATGCTGCCAATCCGTACCGTCTTCTTGGCCCTATGCGCCTCTGTGGCTATCGCCGCCCCCCTCGGCGGGTGAGTGCCGTGCAATAGACGACGCACACATCCAAGTACTGTGCGCCACGGCCACGACGACTAGTGGTCATATCTAAAGTTTTTCATGCATTTCTAATGTTCTCTGCTTTTGACTACAATAGTGTCCTTCACCTGGATTAACCTACAACCACGATAAACGAGGATGATTGGTTACGGTTAAGGTTCAAGCTCTGTCTCCGTTCTCGCTTGCAGGCATTGTTCAGCTGCTTGCTTATACAATGTCTTAATAGTAGAATACAGGTTCCACAGGTTTAGATTTTAAAATACATGCTTGACTTCTTATCTTTACTGCAACTTGCTCTACGACTCCAGTAATCGTTTCGTTGTTATTCACCGCAATTGTCCCTTATACTCTTTGCAAGGAAGAAGTACTCGTAGTATACAGAAGAACCTATCTGTGTTTTTGCAAATCTGTCTCAAGTCCCCTTCCAACGTTAATTACAGTATCTCGAGGCACGGTAGCACGAAAATCTGAATCGGGTATTCTTCACGTCGGGCGAGCTAGTCTAAGCCTGCAGTTACGATGTGAAATACTTTGGTTCCGCTACAGTGCATTGCGATTTTTGCAGCGTTTGCCCCACCACTGGCGATTGCCCGAAGTGCGGTGTTAGCACTGAGGAATTAAAGCAGCTCGTCTGCGGTGCCAAATCTTCCTTCGTTGTTGCCACTGGCGTTGCACAGGACGGCCAATCATGGATGTCTCCTCGCCGTTGGCAGGATATTCTTGGAGCCGATGGCAACCGCTATGCTGTTCAGACATATCCCATCGATGAGCGTCATTGGGAGCCTAAGAACGGCGAATGTAGGAACTACTTCGTGAAACCTGTCTATGACATAACGCGTGGCCAGAAAGCTCAAGCCATCAACACTCCTTCAGTTACTGGCCTGTATATTAATATGGAATGCCGCTGCCCGGAGCTTATCCGTGGTGCTGGATACGCTGTTATTGTCTTCAAGGACCACAAGATTCATCACCTCGATGAGCTCTTGCAGGCTTCCCTTGATAATCAGGTCACCGTGGCTCCCTTGTCCCAAGGCGAATGGATTATTCCCTCTTGCGATGAAGATTTCGATGCCTCCGGCATTGATCAGGAGAAGCTTCCTTCAGCCTTCATAAACGATGAGACAGAGAAAGAGTGCTCTGAAAGGACTATCACCTGCCCCAAGTGCGATATCATTAGTTCCACAGACCAGCTCGAAGGTATTTGCCAGTCTCAGCAAGCTGTGCTCGTTAAACGCATCATGGACGATGTTACCCCCGCTGAGCAGGCTGCTCCTTGGAATATGCCCAAGATTTCTATTTATGGTTAGTTTAGAGGGTTAAAAACAGAAATTACTATTTTAAATTGTTGGTTCTAACAATAATATTAGACCGTCAACAAATAGTTGGTCGAAAATGGAACAATCCATATCACAAACCTCGTAGATAAAATACAATACTGTTTATTTTTATCAACAGCTAAATTATTATACTCTGCGATTGGGTACCATTACCTTAACACAGTCTCATTTACTTCGTTTAATTTCTGTGGATGCTGTTTTCGCGCTAGTGGCAAAGGATAACGCAAAGGCGGACTCTCAGCAGCTTCACATCAAGATAGTTGCCCGTGAAAAAAATTCCTGTATTGGCGGCAAGTTCCGCATCCTCAATGCTTTCACTCCCGACTTCGATGACAACCGCAATCAAAGCTTCCAGCTCGGCCAAGACTGTGAATGTGACTACCTTCGTCACCATACCGGTTTTGCTCTTTTACAGTCTGAGCGCAAACTCTCTGAGGAAGGGATACTTTCCGAAAACGAAAAGATACTCATAATTCCTGAAGGCCAGTACGTTATTCCCTACTGTCAACAAGAGCAGGCTGAAGAGCGTTCCGTGAGTGAAGATGACGATGATGAGCAAAAAGCTGAATGCGATGAGCTTGAGGAGAGCTGCCCCGTATGTGACGAGATCACCCCCAAGATCCAGGAGGCCGTTCAGAGCATAGGCACCTATGTCGTTAAGGTATACTTTCAAAATATGTAAGCTAGATGCACTTTATATAATTAAAAAAAGTTTGTTTAATTGACACGCATTTTTTCATAATTAGTGAAAGGATTCAAAGATGGCATGTTGGAAACTCGGTCATGGTTTATGATATCAAAAGTTAGACGTAGGGAGAGTTATCAAGCCTAAACAAACAATCTTTAGGTATTTGTGTCAATAGCTAAAGATCGAATAGGATTTTTAGATAATAAATCCTAGTAGAGCAACACAGACAGATTTTTTTTGTTGGAATCATTCTCAATAAACTAACAGCACATCTGTATGTTTGTTTCGGAATTCAATTTCTATTATGAGGAATAGCCTCTCTGAGCACAATTAATTCATGCAATAAAAATAATTATTTTATGTTACCAACGTAATTATCAATGTCACCATTATTTTAAAAATGTTCCAATAAGCGATAATGCATGGACACGTGTTTTGTGGCTTTTGAAGTTTTAAGCTTAATAAATTAGGGTGTTGACGTCTAAAATATATACGTATAATTTATTATAAATGTACATTTAAGGTGAGCAGTACATATATAATAATAAGAATAATAACAAAAGCAATTACGTATACACGCACTCGTTATTAATCTACAGATGCAAACCAACCGTCACCTTAAGCCATCTAAAAAAAGCGAAGACGCCAAGTGCGGCGCTGTTCATCTTATTTCTATCTTCAAAGGAGATAACGAGAAAGTTGAGCCTGAGCTTCCCTTCACTCTTCCTGAGAAATGCCGTTGCGATGCTATGTCTGCTTGTAAGTGATACTTAATATTTATTAACTCGTTGGTTAGTTGTCAGCAGGGTATCCATTCAGTTGACTTTTCATTACCTCTGTCTGTAAAAAAAAGCACACGTAGAATACTGAGTTAACTTGTTGTACAGCAATAGCCTCTATAGAAGCTACGATGCAGTTGTATTACCATTTGACTTATCTAGCTCTCATATAGATGATAATGCATTTTTCCATGGCGTTAGATTTTTTCGATAGAACGTGAAAAAGTCACCTTAAATCATGTCAAATATGAGTTTCAGATGGCCGTCAGTTTTACGCTGTTATCAAGAAGGATGCCTTTGGCGGTGAGCGTCTTGAGAAGCTTCCCCTTAATGAAAACGTCTACATTATCAGCTACAACTACCGTTCTTACAGCTTAATCCAGAGGTGGATAGACTCTAGGGAGGAAAATTATGTCAACGACCGTATTGATAACGATGGGTAAGTATTTAACTATTTTGAACTATGTACCTTCTGTCCTCAGCCCGAAAAAAAAACACGAAGCGACTGAGAAATTCCAAAACTGTTTTGCGAGTAACCTTCAATCTGATTCAATGTACAGTATGCATTTTTTTTATTTCAGGTACAACTCCATGGCCCTTCAGGAATTTGGTGGTATCGGACCATCTTACGGTCCTCCTCCCAGTTCTAAGCCTTATGCTGCGCCTCAGCAGCGTATGGGTGGTTACGGTCAGTTCCAGCGCGGCTATGGTGGGCAGGTTAGCCATGGAGGTCAGTCTCAAGGTGGTTACGGCAGTCAACTCCAGAGTAGAGGAGAAGCTCCCGTAAGCTATCAGCCTCTTTACTCGTCTCAGCAAGGCTCACAAGGAGGCTACATGCAGTCTGCCTTGCCACAGTATTCCAACTACGGAATGTACGTTCCTATTGAATATGAACCTACTTACGCCCCTCCGACCTCTCCCAGGTTAGAAGGATGCAATCTACTCCCTGTCTGATAATATAAATGTCTACCTTATAATGTACATCTTCATAGGAGCCAAGCAACACATTAGATGCCTATACGCGAGTATACGAGGTCACTCGTGCTAAACAATATTGTAATGGGGCTTGTTGTCCACTTACAGACAGAGCCTTGTTAGCATAAAAGTAAAGAACGTGGCTGACTTCAGTGAGACTTACGGTGCTCCCTCGTATACTCGCAGGTATGTTGGGTCCTTATTAGAGTACTCAATGAAATAAAATGGACACCTGAAATTATTTGTCAAAACCTAACAATACTTTTTTTTCTATGTAGGCCTCCAAGCGGTTCGGAAAACCAATCTTCTTCCGGAAGCTATAGAGGCCAGTCTATGCCACAGGGTGGCTACCGTGGCCAAATTTTCGGTGGTGAAAGTTACCCTGCATCTCCTCCTTCGCCTTCTTACCACACACCCCCTTCTGCTCCTCCCGCACCTTCCTACCAGCCACCCTCTCTTGCGCCTTTTTACCAGCCATCTTCTCCCACGCCTTCTTACCAGCCATCTTCTGCCGCATCTTTGTACCAAGCACCTGCTCCGGCTTCTCCTGCGCCTTCTCACCAGCCACCCACCTCTGCTCCTCCTATGACTTCTTACCAGCCGCTCTTCCCTACGTCTTCTTACCAGGTACCCGCCCCTGCTTTTCCAACGCCTTCTTACCAGCCACCCCCTTCTGCTTCTCCTGCGCCTTCTTACCAGCCACTTTCTCCTGTGCCTTCTTACCAGCCATCCTCTTCCGCGCCTTCTTACCAGCCACACTCGCCTGTGCCTTCTTACCAGCCATCCTCTTCCGCGCCTTCTTACCCGCCACCCCCTCCTGCGCCTTCTTACCAGCCATCCCCCCCTGCGCCTTCCTACCAGCCACCCCCTTCTGCGCCTTCTTACCAGCCACCTCATTCTGAGCCTGCTTTCCAGCCACTCCTTTCTGAACCTTCCTACCAGCCACCCCCTCTTGAAGCTTCTTACCAGCTTGCTCCTACTGAGGCTTCTTACCAACCACTCACTCACGTTCCTTCTTATCAACCAGCCCCCGCGGAGTCTTCTTATCAGCCGCCTCATTCTGAGCCTTCTTACCAGCCACCTTCTTCTGAGCCTTCTTACCAGTCACCCTCTCCTGTTCCTTCCTATCAGCCACCCTCTCCTGTACCTTCTTACCAGCCACATCCTCCTGCTCCTTCTTACCAGGCATCTCCTTCTACTCTTTCTTACCAACCACCTGCCCCTGTTCCTCCGACGCCTTCGTATCAGCCATCTTCCCCTGCTTCTTCTTACCAGCCACCTGTCCCTGTTCCTCCGACGCCTTTTTTCCCGCCACCCACACTTGCTTCTTCTGCACCTTCTTACCAGTCACCCACCCCTGCTCCTGCTTCCTCTTACCAGCCTTACCCTTCTGCGTTTTTTTACCAGCCACCCGCTCCTGAGTCTTCTTACCAGCCATCCCTTCCTGCTTCTTCCTTCCAGTCACACTCCCTTGCGTCTCCTTACCAGTCACGTTTTTCTGCACCTTCGTACCAACCACCCTCTTCTGGTCCTTCATACCAGCCACTCCCTTCTGCTTCTCCCGTGTCTTCTTACCAGCCATCCATTCTTACTCCTCCTGCTCCTTACCAGCTACCCTCTTTTACTCCTTCTGCACTTTCTTACCAGCCATCCCCCCCTGCTCCTCCTCCGCCTTCTTATCAAGCATTCTCCCCAACTCCTCTTGTGCCTGCTTACCAGGCACCCCCGCCTGCTCCTCCTGCACCATCTTATCCGACACCCCCCCTTGCTTCTGCTGAATCTTCTTATCAAACTCCCGCTCCTGCTCCTGAAGAGAAGGAGTATGGTGGCTCCGCTCTCGCGCCGATGGAATCATCTTCTTACGGACCTCAGCAGCAGGGTGGCTACTCCAGCGCACCCTCTGGAGGTTCATATGGCCAACCGCCAGCCGGTGGGTAGTAAATAAAGCTGATCACGTAAATGCTATTTGAATATAGTCTTTTTTTCTCAAATATAGATAAGAATACAAGAATAGTGGCCACTGTACATATAGACCTATACCAAAATATACAAGTTCTAGTTACATGCTTAAGTTATACAGCGGTGTCCTTCGACGACGAATGCTCTTACAGCTCGCAGAGTTTTCAGCGGTTTGGCTGACAGGCCTTTTTTTCCGTGCTGCAAGACGGGGGAGCTTTTCAATATAGAGAGGTATGTACCCCCTTCTAAAAACTATGCACACACGAATACAAAAAGAAAAATACAAAAATAATTGATTTGAATTTTTCTAAATAAAATTCGATCGTCGAAAGGACACCCGAGTTCATGTACCCGACTCACTCAAATCTTTTACAGATAATGCCGTAACTTCGATTGCTGTGTCCTACTCGATGCCGATCACCATTCCGATTGTAAGCGCCAAGGCCTCCGCTTCAAAGATCGGCGGGCACGGCTCAAGTGACAGCGAGTACGGTAGCGGCGTCAATGATGCTGGCTACG